ATTTGTAACTCCATTATCTTTTACCCTCGCCCCAACCCAGTGTACGAGATGACCGGATACGTCCTCAAGCTCTGGCAGGGATGATTACTGTGTATCCTGCTGCCTTTTGAATCCTGACCAGTTCAGTTCCTTCCTCCCTCCTCTGTCTCTTTCAGCTGCTGCGTAGGATCTTAGATGTTTAGTTTAGTTTTTGGCATCTTTTTTCATTCTATACATAATCATTTTAAAATTTGAACCAAAGCAAGCTTGGTAGTGCTTAGCTAAACTTTAACCTTTTTTTTTTATTCTGGGCATTGTAGTTTAAGTTTAATAATGTTGATTATGACAATTCTTACATATTGACTAATGTGGAAATAAATATTTTTCTAAGGTTTTTTTTATAGCAAATTATATTCTGTTAACTTCCACATATGAAGAATACAGCATTGAAAGACATTTGACTTGAAAGATATTTCCCAACTCTGATAGTGATGATTTGTGTGTTTATTGGAATATACTTGTTATACAGAAAGTTTATGTTCTCATTTATAATAAGATTTCTGATTAAAAAAATTTGTTCAACATATATTACTTGGAAGATTTGGTTTCTAGAATGTGAAGCTGGTCACCCCTCCCCCCTTCTCTGTATTTTTGAGTTCCAGGAAACACCCTGTGTGTTCACTTACTGCATTTTAAATTATTGCCTTGATTGTACTTCTGCATTTCCCTTCAGTCTAACTCTGTCCAATTCTGAGAGCCAGTAGCTTCCATAAAGCACTAGGTGACAGCTTGAATAATCAAACTAGGTAACTATTTGTAAAACAGGGAAGGATGTGGACGTTGCATAGAAGATTCAGAAGGTGCTGAGGGACTTTGTAGTTCACCATTATTCTAGCAAATAGAAAGTACCACTGAAGTATTTCTTCCTTTAGACTTTTGAAACAGGTAACTGTTGGGACCATTAAAAAAGAACACCAAATGGGGCCTCCCTGGTGGCGCAGTGGTTGAGCGCTGGGCTGCGAGGCTGCCCGTAGCTTCTATAGCACCGGTTCGTTCCTGGCCACCGGCGAGGGTCCCACATGGCGCGCAGACCTCTCCTGCCACCCGCTGCTCCCCTCAGCAGTGTACTTCGGTCCTTCTGCCTGCTCTGCTCCCCGCTCTGGCTCTGATGAATTCTCTCACCCTCCTGCGCTTCTGACTGTACCCAGGGCTTGTATAAATAAATAAATAAATCTTAAAAAGAAAAAAAAAAAAAAACACCAAACGCTTTCTGCTCTGAATCCATGTTTCGGTAACTGTTTTGGTGCTATCTTATCAGGAGGCTCTGTGGCCCAAATGCAAAAACAATAAAGACAGCAATTCTGATGACTTTCATTTTGTAACAAGTAATTTACAAAGTAGGATTAGGTCAGACATTTGGCTTTGCTTAAACATACTTCCTTTCAGAAACACTTCTGTTCCATAAAATGACGCATATTGTGATAGAGATAAGGTCTCTTTGGACTTTGGGAGCCTTTAGAACCACTTGTTAAGTCAGGATAGAGAGGTGAGTGCTTTGGCCCTTCCCGTCAGCCTCCCCACTGCTAACAGGGTACTCTGTCTCCCTCCTTACTTGTCATATAGTTTGGAAAGGAATAATGCATTTTACCACAGAACCAGTAGGAAACGTTCCACCATTTGTGGCACTGAAGTGAAAGGGCTGTTAATACTAACCTGCTGTGTTTAATTTAATGAAGTGATTGCTATAAACATAAAAGCATTTCATGCCTGTGTGTCTTCAAGGAAGATAGAAAGCTCAATAAAACATTGTTAGCTTTTCACTCAAGTTTGACTTTCTGCCTAATTGGATTTGGGAAATATTTAAATAATGGATAATGAGCTGCTTTCCTGAATAAATACAAAAATTGATTGGCTCTGGGCTCTTATTTATTCCAGAGCTTCATAGTATGCTAGCTTTGTATGCTAGCTTCATAGTATGCTTTGTAGTCTTTGGGAGATCATTTAGCTTGCAAAATGCGTGGGAGAGAATGGGAAATCAAGAACTACAGCTATAGAAATTATCCAGGTGATCTTGGCTTCTGCCCTTCCTTGCTTCTTACAAGATTTCCAGGCCAGCAAATGTTTTGTTTAAAACTGTAGTGAGCGTTTCCAGCTCTGCTAAGTCATAATTTTGGAAGAACTTGTTTGTTTTTCCTCCGTGAAAATGCTTCACTATCAGATGAAACATATAATTTGGAGTGCCCAAACACCTGTATAAAATGTTGCAGTGTGACTAAAACCACTTCTCTGTAAGCTCTGGCTTGATGTAAACCTGCTTTAGTAGCACATGACCAGGTGTGCCTTTGACACTGTTACATTTGATGTTTTATTCCATCACATTTCTGAAATCTGCAGTAAAAATAGGAAGTGTGGGCTCTCAAAAAGCTGGTAAAGAACTGACTTCAGTGATGAAGGGGAAAGGTAAAGCATCTGCTTCCTATGGGTTGACATTTAATCTCCCCATGGCAAAAATGTCTAATTCAGTGTGATTTCCATCCTAGAAATAATGAGGTACACTTGGAATGATTCTTTGAATCATGAAATGTCCCTTGTTTTTGTAAAGGAGAGAATCCAGGAACCTGTTTCATGACAAGTTCATTGCTTCCCTTTTGGCTTGGCCCCTAACTTCACGCAGCACGCGTCGTCCCATCATCCGCTTTCAAGCCTTTATTCTGGTTGCTCTTTGTGGGAAGGTCACATCGTCGACTGGTAGAATGTTTAGTCTTTGATCGACATAATAAAAGATCTTTAGGAATATTTTATGCTTGTGACGGAAGTTTCATTGAACTTGTTTATTGCGCGTCTGTAACTTTCAGAACATTATAGAAAATCTTGAAAGCAGAGGAGCGAGGTTATATTATACATTATATAATGTATAATGTATTAGATATTATATACAGAGGAACCAGGATAAAAATAACTGCAAACGTCTTGTTAAATGCTTCAAATGAAAAGGCAATAGAATGACAACTTGCAAATGGAGGATGGCAATCATGATATGCCAGTGAAAATACCTTTCAAAAAACTGACTTGACGTCCCTGACATTCATCCAGCACCGCTCCCCACAAGGCTAGAATATGTATGTTCTTTCCACGCGAGCGAGGAGCATGTCTGTCTGGATGGGGTTGCGTGGGGGCATGCCACACACAGCTGTCATCTTGAGATGGCCTTTGCTTTTCTCCTTCATTGTTCCTTCTCCTGGGATCTTTCGGTCACAGTATGGTGGACAAAGGCACGTTGTTGACATCGCTGCAGCGTGTCATCCAGCCTGGCTTCTCTCTCACGGTCTGGCACATAGCTGTCACCCTGAACACCTCCTTGCCAGTTGTTGTGGAAATTTCCTTTGCCTTTACTTTTGTGTTGGACTTTTCCTTTCTGGATATCTTACATCTTTCTCTTTCTTGGTTTATTTCTTTACTCAGGTGGGAGGCACACTCCAGTGGGCTGCTGAGGAAAGGGAGCATGGATGGTACAGTTTTTGAGAACTTGCCTATCTGGAAATGTTTTTGTTTTCCTTTCTCACTTGATTACCGGGTTGGATATAGAATTCTAAGTAGGAAGTCCTTTTTCTTTAGAATTTTGAAGTCAGTGCTCCTTTACTGTCCAGCCATCAGTGTTCTTGCAAAGTCTGAAGCCATTCTGAACCCCTTAGCCTGTGAAAGTCAGTTGTGTTTTCTTCCTAGAAACATAAAGAACGTTGTTGTGTAGGAATCTAGAATTCCACCAGGCGCAGGGAGCCCTCGGAGCCCTTGTGATGGCCTCGGCAGCCCTGATTAGCCCTGGCCCTCTCAGGGCTGGTAGTTGCACTCCCTGGTGCCAGTGCTGTTTGCTCTTCCCTCTTGTCTGCTCAGATCCTCCGGCTGGCACTCTGCCTCCTGATTTGTTTTCCAGAAAATAGTTCTCCAGATTTCTGCGGAGGCGTTAGGTGGCAGTCACCCAGTCACAAGGAGGGGGCCCATGGAGTGGGGATCCAGCTCTTCTCAGATAGCTCACCCTCTCCCCTGCGCGGAGTCCTACCCTCTCTTCCAGGGGGCAGCACTCTCTGAGCCGGGGAGGATGGCTGTGGAAGTCAGGGTGGCGGTGAGCTTTGCTCACTGCCGGCTGGTCATTGAGCATCCTCAGGCCTGCCAGTTCCAGCTCCCAGGGCCCCACTGCTGTTGCCTCCTCTCGTTCTCCCCTGTGGGCACTATACTTTGTTTTTCAAGTATAGCAAAATGCACATAACAAAAACTTAAACCATTTTAACCATTTTCTGGTACACAGTTTAGTGACATCCATATTGTTGTGCTGCGTTACCTTTTGATAATAATAAAATACAAGTTAAACGGGAAGGTTGTGTCATGTGATGATTATGGTGTTTTAGGAGCATAAAGTGAAATGTGGGATCAGCCAGGCTGGACGCTCCTGTGGGTCGTCTGTAACAGGCATGTCCTGGGGATTTGGTGAGCATCTCCTAGGAAAGCAGATGGATAGTTTGTTGATAGGAAAGTGCGGTTTATCTGCTTTTAATCACTGCAGATTTAAAGAGGTTACAGATGGCGCTCCCATCTTGGCGCTCAGGGCTCTCCAAGATCTGGCCCTACCCACTGTGTGCTCCTCCAGCCGTCTGTCCCTGCCACCCACCCACTGTTCCCTGCAGAAGACGGGAACTCCAGCCCCCAGGCCCTGTGTGCTGGGTGTTCTGAGTGGAATGCCCACCCCTCTTCTGTCTCTGCCTTCTTCCACTCCTTTTCCAGCTCCCAGCCCTGCCACTTCCTCCCCCCAGACATGTGGCTGTTCCTCTTATGTTTTCCTCCCATGACCTTGTACATGCCTCGGAATTATCACCTTGCATTTCCCACACTGCCAGGCTCTCTTTGATGTCAGATCCTGCACTGGGTCTCCTTCAGTGCCTGGCACGTTGCCCATACACGGTTAAATGTCTGGAGGAATTCCTGATACCAGAGATTTCAAAAGAGAACTCTTTCTCCTTTTCTTGTAGGATATCCGACACGAAGCCAGTGACTTCCCATGTAGAGTGGCCAAACTTCCTAAGAACAAAAACCGAAACAGGTACAGAGATGTCAGTCCCTGTAAGTATTCACATCGCCATTACTGTCTCACTGCTTCCGTCTCGGGGGTTCATAGGTCCAGGGCCTGCCAGTCCAGCTTCTTTGCCCCAGGGTTTGGTGGGCAGTAGAGGTTTATGACTTGATTGTTTCCTATAATGAAGGCATTAGCGGCTTAGAGTAATGGTTCATTTTTCCACCTCTGTAGAGGGACTGAGATTTCTGGCAAGTTGAACTAAGTTCAAAGACGTTGGCTTTGATGATTTTTCTGATGACTCATTTTCCTGCCAGCTGAAGCAGAGGAGAGCAGGCATCACCTCCTCTTTTCCCCTGACTCGGCAGCCGTTATCGTTAGACCCTGGGCATCGTGTTGGGCTGTGGCGGTGCCCTGCACGGGCGTCAGGGGCAGGAGCTGTGTCCCCACTCTCTGAAGACATGCGTCACCTCTGCTTGTTGAGTCCTCCTCACCCCACCCCCACCATCGTCATCACTTCTAGCGCTCTCATCCCGCGAGCTCTCGGTGTGCCTGCTGGCCTCTGGCAGCCCCTCTGCCTTCTGAGTGATTGGCTCGCAGTCTGCTGATCTCTCAAAAGTAAATAACTAAACGTGTTAGAATTTGTGTGAAGCAAGAAAAACTGGAGCTGAGTAAAGGACATGAACTTTGCAGCCTCCTCCAGTCACAGAAGCCTTTTTGACTCAGCTCCAGGGATTTTAGACACCGTGAGCCCGGGGCCATACCTGCTCACAGCTCCCACGGAAGTGTTCTCTGCCAGGGCCATCAGCAACATGATGGGTCAGACACAGGCACTTCCTGCGTTCCACACCAAGCACACTGCCCGTGGCCATGGCTGGGCGCTTTCGGTGCATTCTGTAGGAGAGTGGGCCGTGCAAGCTGCCCCGAATTGTACAGCACCCTGGTTCCTGGTGGGAGAGTGAAAATGCACCCAGAGCAGCACGACCTTGCCCGGATTGTGTCTCAGCCTGCCACTTACAGCTGCATGGCTCTGGGCAAATTGTTCTCTTCTCTGATCTTCAGCAAAAGAGCAGGCACGGCAATCTTGGGGGATTCCGCGAAAAGGAAATAAAATAACATAAGCCACTTAGTGCAGTGTCTTGCTCATAGAGGTTGGCTGTGATTGAGGCAGTTGTTACTGAAGGTGCATGCCAGAAACAGCTAAAGTGCACTTCTAGGTCATCAAGTGATACCTGATGGCGCCCCAACACCTGATACTTTTGACTTAGCACGTCTGGGCTGTGGCATGGTGTAGGTTTCATTAAAACAGAGCCTCAGCTTCTCCTGGGATGATTCTGCCATGAGGCTCTGGCCAGCGCTCTGGGCTTGAAAGAACAGCCACTCCTTGGTGTCTTTCACACGATGTGGGGAGGTACCCCACATCTCTAGTTTTTGCTGTACTTTGCTACATTTTTGATCATTGCTCATGTAATTGATTTTATGAGCGAGTTTTACATAGAAAGAAAAGCACTTTTATTGTTCCAGGGAAACAGTTCCCAAACTTTCTACTCCCAATCTCAGGCCTCATGTTTTTCTTTTTCACTCTTACCACCACTCTCTAGTAGAAAAAGTAATTTGTTTTTAAGGTTATGGGGGAGGTGGGGAGGATGATTCAAGGTAATCTTGTTGTCTTCCACGTGGCAAGCGGAAAGCCCAGCGCTCAAGAGATGGATTGTTTGCCCAACTCACCCAGGCCTGTTTGAACCCACTCATGTAACCTACCAGTGCCACGCAACATAGTGTCTGGTTTTTTGAGATCTTTTTTCTCCATGACCCACTTACATATTACCCAAGTATTTAAATTTAATTTAAATCTGCAGGGTGAGAAACATTATTCTAAAAGTGGCTGATTTTCCAAAACATCTCATTGGAATTCTTAGTACAAAAATCCCCAAATCACTTACACACACACACACACACACACACACACACCAACTTCTCCTTCCTGTTGGGACTGGGGGGATGATACTGTTTATGGATGTTCACCTGAGTTCATTGTCCCCTGCAATGTGCCAGAAATAAAAATACCTGCTTGCTCTTGTTAGCGGCACTAGCAGTATAAGGAAAGTGGCCCTCGGGACCCACTGCTTTTGTGAGAGTCGTGGAAAAAGAAAAAAAGGTGATTGTGCTTTTTCGTGACCCGAACAAGTCAGAATTTCCAAATGAAGGTTATTTCTAAAAGTTACATTGACGATACTTTCAGTGTTTTGGATTCAGTTTATTTTTCCCAGTTAAACTTGCTTTTAAATGTCTTTGTGACAAGTTCTGAATTTGAACGATTTAGAATCATTTCAATTCATCATACTTGAATCTAAAAAAAACTTGTTGAAAGAATTCAAGGTAGATGATGACACTGCTGTATATACCAGTCATTTATCTTCAAACCATTAGGTGGTTAGATTGAAGTGTGATCATAAATTCTACATATTATATAGTTCATTGTACCAAATAGGCGTGTGGGGACTGGAGGAATTTTGGGTGAATTTGGTTCCCTATTAAAAATTGAAGCTGCTATATATTTTTTTTACTCTATAAAAATATATATTAGGCCTCAGAGAACAGATTCCTTGACACACATAGTATGGTCTAAGTATCATAAGATGACAGGCCCTAAGAACAGATTTCTCATATAGGATGGGATTATGCTGTCGTGTAGTTTACTTCTGCTGTTGTTAGGATTTTTTTTTTCAAACATGTCAAAACAACCTTTCTGAAAATACTGTTCCAACCCCACATTAATGACTAATCTCAATTAAACAGCACAGCCTCAGTCAGCATGAGTGTCCTCAAGCCATCCATTCACCTTCCTCAATTTCCCGAGAGGTGCCCTGCTTGTACAGACACTTGGTCCTCCAGGATTAACCTCTGAGGTCTGGTTTGCCTTTCAGTTGACCATAGTCGGATTAAACTGCATCAAGAAGATAACGACTACATCAATGCTAGTTTGATAAAAATGGAAGAAGCCCAAAGGAGTTACATTCTTACTCAGGTAAATGCATTGTCTGAATTCTTTTTAATGGTTTTGCTTTATTTAATGTCAGTTTAAGGGCTTTTGAGTACTGTTATCCACACCTCAGATAAAATGGGTCAAAAGCTTTAGAAGGGCAGGTTTTAAATAACCCAAAAAGCAACAAGGAAGGAATAAAATCTTCTTTCAGAGATTCAGTTTGGCTGTAACACTGATCTTTTCTGGGAAGTGTGACACTGCTGGGCTTAAAGAAAACAGGTCCCAAATTTGCCCATGACATTTTGACACAGGCAGCAGAGCCGTGGCTGGAGGAGGGCCTAGAGCCATGTCCGTTCCATAGGTCCTGGCCTCTGAGCCCCAGGTGCTTCTAACAGAAATCTAAGAGGCTGAACAGTAGGCCTGGCGTCTTGTCCAGATAGCCATTCAGAATCCCTCAGCTTGGTCCTCATTCTTTGGCCCATGAACAAGCACACAAAATCACTTTAAATTCCCGTTTGCATCTTTACGGAAAAACCCTAAGAGTGGTTTAATAACTGATTTTCTTGCGAAGCCACTGTATATGACCCCAGAGGCCATGGGTATCAGGGAGGGGGAATAAAAGAGTCTTTTTAATTTTCTCAAGTCCTGTCTGTTACCAGCAAATTGTCCTCGACATTCTGTCTTTTTAATCATAATTTTCACTTTCTCATTTCATATCAGTTTAATCAGTCTGACATATGACTGAGATATGGGGTGATTTGGAACATCATTATTTTGCTTAGTATTGGGGAATTAAAATGATGCTAAAGCAAAAGCTCAGTGAGCAAAGACTGCTTTGGGACAGGGTGTCAGATCAGGAGCACTGTGGTCCTCCTCCACCGCCCCTTCATCCTGTCCCAGTCCCTCCCCACCACCCCCATACTGGCCCAGTCAATCGACTGGGGTGCCTCCTCGTCAGCATGGAACATCAGCCCATCTGTGTTCAATCCTGGGGAGCCCCTGAGTGAGTTCTTGGTTACATGTGTAGGGGGTAGGCCTTTCCCAGGCCCTCAGCCCATGGTCTTCCCGGCACCTGGGAGGGAGGAGGGGGAATCGAAGGGCTGAGGGGTTGATAAGGAGGAAGATCCCTGCTGGTGACAAACCAGTGGGAACAAGTTGAGGCAAAGTGTTTCCTGGGGAACTTCTCTTTTTCGAAGTCAAGTTTCTTAACTTCCTGATTTCAGCCATTCAACTTTGGTGTGAGGTCAAGAAGCCCAAAGCAAAGATTGGGGTGTATGATGTCATGTGGAGTGTTAAATCACCATAGAAGCTTGCACACCACTGTCCTCCCCACTCCCCTGCCCTGGCATTTACCTGGCACATCAGACTTCCTGTCTGTTTTGTAAGGTGGTGTCACAGATGTGCCCAGCTGTTTACATGGTCTCCCTTAGCCCTGGAATTTACAAAAGGATCAAAGCAACTTAATCCCCCCAGATTGAAGCACTTTCCAAGGCACAAAACCCAGTTTTTATTTGCAGCATTGTTCATTAAGCAAATAATACAAATCCATGTCTCGCTCTTTAAGAGCCAGAGATGTAGAGAATAATGAGTTCCTGCTTTCGCCACCCCGTGAAGTGTGGGCTAAGTTTGGTCTATGATTTCAGCTCCGCAGACCCTGGGCTAGGGGAGGTTGACAGGCTCGTAACCACTGAGCTGCAGAGTGCAGCTGGGGAAGGCCCAATGACCAGCTTTCCAAGCCGGAGGAGGGCAGGCCCCCGTGGCCAGCCCGGAGGCTGCCTGTCGCCTGCCTCCCAGAAGCTGTTTTCCTGTGAGTGGAGGGGAAAGGGCTACACGGGTCACCCTCCTGCCTGAGTCACAGCAGCATGTCCCGATGAGCTCTGGGCAGAGTATGCATGGCCTCTCCTGTGCCCCAGGAAGATAAGGACAGACTTCAGGGGGAAAGATTGAAAGACTAAGGAGAATTTGGATGACAATGAGTGAGAAGGGAACCCGGTCTAGAAGTGGTGCTGACTGGAGGAGGTGACATGTCTGATGTGGAGGTGAGAGACGATGTCCCTCCCAGGGACGCGCTCCAGGCATTCCCACCCTGCATGCAGTAAATGTCTGCGCCCATCACCGGCTGGGCTGGAGAGGGGTGGACTCAGAAGATACCCCACCAGGACCCGGGGTCACTGGGCCCTGCACCCATCTGACTGACCATTTGCGTGTCCACATCTCTTCCTTGGCTCAAGGATGAAGACTGTCGGTCGTCACATTTACCATTTTTAGTAGCAGTAAAATAGCTTGCTGCTTTCCAGGTGCAACGGCAGGGCCTTTGTGTACATGAACATAGTTAATTTTCACAACCTCAGCAATTGGCTCTGCGATTAGTCAGGTGAAACAAGTAGGGGAACAGGCCTGGGACAGTGGGGTGACTTGTCCAAGGTCACATTGATGGTAAGTGATTGGTGCTGGGATTCAAACCTCCAGCAGCATCAATGTGGGGGGGGGGTGACACCCCACATGTTCTCACCCACACTTGTAGTTTTGCCCCATGTCCCACCCATCCTTAGGAGTGGAGCTCAGTGGATCCCCTCATCCAGCCAGAACCAACAGAAAGCAGAGTCAGCATTTTCTCTCCCCTTGGTCAGTCCTGGGCCAGCCCTGAGATGAGGAAATGATTGCTCCCCCTGGTAGAGGATAGATTCCTGGTTACTGCTAGGCAGGGGATGCGGCTCCCCGTCCCAGCCCCGGCTACCTCTGCTGAAGCTGGTGCGGACCGAGGGTACTGTCCCCAGCTACCAGCAAAGGCGGGCTCGCGCTGAGGTCATGGGTGACGTGGCATTCACTTTGCTGCCGGTGTGTTTGCAGGGCCCCTTGCCCAACACGTGCGGTCACTTCTGGGAGATGGTGTGGGAGCAGAAGAGCAGGGGCGTGGTCATGCTCAACAGAGTGATGGAGAAAGGATCGGTAAGTCCTGGCCCCCTCCGCCGTGTGTGTGTCTGTCCTGGTCACCACTCACAAAGCTGGCGTTTCTGTCTAAGTGTATTTCCTTGAATTGCTTTTATATTTCTTTTACGTGGTGTCTTTTTTATTAAAACAATTAAAGAAGCAATAGAGAACTACCTGGTTACTGCAAACAAGCTAGATAAATAAGTGACTTAAAAAGAGGAAAACAATAAGATCACCCTTGACCTCTCAGCCCCACCAGCCGGTGTCTGCAGTGTATGTTCTTCCGTCTCACTGCCCCCGGGGCCGGGACCTTCACCTTGCGGGGCTGTGCCGCACGGCCTTGTTTCGAGAAGCTGGTTTCTGCTGTGCCCTCGCCATGGCTGCTTTTCTGACTCCCACTGACAGAACTTGGGGCAGCCCCACGCTTTTTGTTTACTCTCTGTAAAATCTTTAGACTCCCAGTTCCTGGCCACAGCTCTCTAGTGGGGGGTGTTGTCTGCTTATGTGCTTAATGTTGGCCTCGTGCTGTGCTTCCTCCCATGTGCTCCCCCGCTCTAGAGCAGCCCTGGGAAATAGCTGGACCAGAGGTGTGCGTTTGTTCGGGCCTCCACCCGAGGTGGATCTGTTCCTGTAGCTACCTGCTGGCCTCTTGCCTGCTCCCTTCCTGCTCCCTTCTCCATCCTGCCGTCAGGATGATCTTTCTGAACCAAGTCTTACCACTTCCAAGCTGAAAACCCTTTTGGGATTCCTACTGCTTCCCCAAACCATGCCTGGGCAGGCCCCAGTTAGCCTGGACCCCAGCTCCCATCGCTGGCTCCCAATTCCAGTCACCGCACCTTTTTGTTTGTTTTCAGTTTCTTTCTAGACTTTCTGGCTAAGGCTCCACTTCTGGCCGGCTTCCGAAGGCTTCACTCATGCCAGCCTGTGGCTTGTGCTGTCCCTTCCCCACTCAAGGCCCGTCTCGCGTGTGCGTGTGGGGTGCGGTGCGGGCTGGTATTCAGCACAGGGACTAGATGCCACCACCGCCCGACTCCCTGGCGCCTGCCCCCCTCTGCTCTCCAGCCTCAGAGGTGGGGCCCCAGAAAAAGGTGAGCTGAGGACTGGAGGCCAGGAGCAGAGAACTGTGTGCCCAGGCCTCCGGGTGCCGGCCATGTTCTCTGGGCTCCCGCTGCTGTCCTGGTGTAGAAGCCTCCTCTGAAGCAGCGCGCTCAGGTTCCAGAGGTCACAGTACAAGTGAGGGGAGAACCCTCACGTCAGCGGAAGCATTCCCCGCTAAACCTCTCCCCGCACAGCGCCGCTCCCGTGAGAGATCCTCCGACGAAGCGTGTTTTCCGTGTTTACAGACCACGCGTTGGGTTGCCCCTGCCGACTTTTCTTAAAGGAGAGTCTTTATTTGCTCAACAGTAACAGATAAAGGGCTTGCCTGAGTGTTCAACCGATGACTTGCGCTTCTTAGGAAGACTATTCTTCAGTGAAAGTGGTTTTTAACTTTCTGCTTCGGTGGCTTGATTAGTAAAACGTGAAGTCACAAATACAAAGCAAACCCCCACCCTCACCACTGTTGTCAGCAGTTTTGAAGAAAGAATCATTGGCTTCCCACAGCACACTCCGCCAGGGAAAGTGAAACGTGGTGGCCTCAGCACCGCTGGCTTCAGGCTGGTTTTGTGCCGGGGGGCTGTCCTGTGCATTGCGGTGTTGAGCAGCATCCCTGCTCGTGCCCCCGGCGGTCTCCCACCCGAGGCTGACCGTGACCAGACCATAACCCCCTGCGCGAGCCTTCCCCTCCGTGACTCTGCCGTTGGCCGGGAGCAGACACGGCTAGTGGCTTTGCTGTGGTTTCCGTGACAGAGTCCCTGTTTGCCTTTGAAACTGTTCTTCCCACTCAGGTTCATTTGTGCATGCAAATCCGCGTGGAAATCAGCATGTGCGTGGACTGGGAATCTTTTAAGTTTCCTGAGGATCAGCATTTTGGTTGTCAACACTACCGCTCCCACAAGGGTCACCTAGGAAAAAATAAAAGAAACGTATTTGCTCAGCGAAACTATCAGCTACCCACAGAGCCCCTGGAAGAAACCAGCTTGCAGAGTGACTCCACATAATGCATATTTGTTTGGACTTTCCTTTCTTCACCCAACAGTGTAGGATATGCCCTTCTTATTTTTGGCAAACCTACCTGTTATCCTCTGGGGTCCCTTGCTTCCTGGAAAAACAGTTTTGCAGAAAATGATTTTGTGCCTTCTAGTAGGTCATCCAGATGGCCGGAGGGCTGTGAGTTGGATTTAGAAATGGAGTTTAGACGTGTGAGTGTGTCTGTGTAAGACCTGGTAGCTTAGACTGGGGGAGTCGCTGCTGTGTCTCTTCAACACCCTTGTTAAAGATGCCTTTGATGTCAGACGCTTTTGTACGCCGGGTTTATATCCCAGGGACCTGAGGCTTCCTGTCTCCCAGTCGGCTGAGTTAGCTCGCTCCGCTCCTCATTCCTCGGGAAGTCAGGGCGTCCGTCAGAGGATCGCCGAGGGGAATCCCACAGACTCTCCATATGGTTGCCTCACTCTTGGTTTTAGAAGCCCCAGGACTCTCTGACGTCCACCTTCAGGGTGTTAACGGCGACTGGGACAGATGCCAACATGTGGGCACTGCCATGTTGCTGTTTGGTGCCAGCCTGGGACACATTTCCTCAATTTGAATCCTGGTAAAATACTGCTTTCTAATAAAATAAAGCTCCTTTCTGTGTTAGCAGGTATCAGTTTAATTGACTAACAGGAAGTAGTGATCTTGTGCCTATTTTGTTTCATTGTGTGTGTTTAAAACAGGTTTTCTATGGGAAATGACGGCAGGCACGGCATGGCCTTTTATGGTACATCCCTAAAGGCCTTAAAAATAGTTGATTGACACAGTGTGCTAGAATCCCTCTGTTGTTGAGTACAAAGGTTTGGTCTTTACCCAGGTGGCAGGCTTATAGGCTGTATGTGCAGCTTTGAAAGTGGGTGCTTGCTGTGTGGGGTGAGGCTGCAGAGCCTCGCTGTCTTCTCTGCTCGTGAGACCTGGGAACACTGACCCTTTTGCTACCCTGCGCCCGTGCCCCATCCTCTGTCTGCTTACAGCGTGGGGTGCCTGGTCCTGCACACGTGGTCTTGAAGTTACCAGGGCAGTCTGCTCCTGAGGTCTTGAGGCTTTCCACAGGTCTAATTTCAAATGTGGAAATTCATCCCTTGCAGGTCTCTAAGGTCTTGCTTTTGGCTGCTCCACCACCTCCAGCTAAGCGTGGGGTCTTGCTGTGTAAGCGAGGCTTCCGTGTCGTGAGCAGTGGAATTGCTTCCATGCAGCTGATCAGCCGCCTTGCAGGAGTTGGCAGCTCATTATCGATGTGGGATGGTGCCCTGGGTGAAACTGGCCAATACTTTGAAACAGGCCTGTGCCCAGGCTCTTTAGAAAGCCCCATGGACCTTCTATTTGGGGAGTGTGAGGTTTGACTCTGGGTTGGCACCACACTCTGTTGCTTCTTGATTTTTTTCTCTTTTTGTTCTTGTCTGGGGAGCAGCAGGCAGTGTCAGTAGAGCCAGATGGATGGGCCTCCTGGCTCCTCAGCCCCAGGTCATACTGCAGGTTCCTGGGCCTGCTGCCAGCATCGCTGCAGTCTGGGCCCCTGCTGGCCCCTGCTCGTGCTGCTCCTCTGATGCTGGCTCCTTGGCAGTCACTGCCCAGGGAATTGGAGTCACCCTTCAAAGGCCACCTCTGCCAGAGGCCGTTTCTTCCATCGAACCTTGTCTGATCTCTCTTGCCCATAACCTCAACTGAAACATTTACCTCTCAAGTTTCTGTGGCACATCCATATCCTCACCTCCTCAGCACTTTCCCCAGGCCACTTAGCGTGGCATGGCGGGGCATGAACGGGCTCTCTCTGGGGACAGCAGCTGAAGGGACTCCTTCTGCCTGCTTATGGCATTTCAGGCACTGTCATCCTTTGCTCCAGGGGAGGTGTTGAGTGAGTTCAATGCATGTTAAATTATAGGTGTCTTGAATTTGTACCATTTACCAAAGGGCCTTGCATACACACTGGTATTTAAGTTGATGGAATTGGTGACGTCATAGAGATTCGCTCTGTCAGGACACATTGCCAGTCTTCTGCCTCACAGACCTTGCAGCTAGACCTCTTGTACCTGCTGATTTTGTCCAGAACAGTCAGCAGCAAACAGAAATGTCTGGGTTAACTGGCACAGAAACTTCACTCAAGCAAAATATGCTGCAAAGTTTAAGTGGAATTTTCTTTTTAAATTCTAAATAAAACCAAATCTTTGGAAGCTGGCTGCTTTAATGAGCTACACTTATATCAAGCCCAGCAGTAGTTTCTGAAATTACTGCACTCTCGTGCATCAGAAGTATGGTCTGAACCTAACCAAACCAGTATGAAGGAGTAGGCTGGGCCAGTGGGTGATCCCAGGCCCCAGAGGAGCCCCTCTCCACACCACCTCTACTTCCTGCCGTGCATTGGAGGACAGCCCTTCACGCTTCCATGCAGCTTCTCCTGCCTTATTGTCAGGTGACCCATCCTTTTCCCCAGGGCCAGGAGTCAAACCGTGCTGAGAGCACCGTCAGCCTTGATATCCTTTGAAATGGCTCCATTAAGAAGTTGGTAAGAGACTGAACTTTCTGTGCCATCTGCCCTCGCCTCCTAGATGACAGGGAAGGGACACCCATGTGGCTGGGAAGTTTGGGCTCTGTCCAGTCCTACTTCTGGTCCTGGGCTAGAGCCTCCCCCGGAGGCAGGCAGTTACACCAAAGGTGACTTCCAAGGTCAGAAAACCCTGGACCCTTCAGGTTATCATCGAATCTATGGGAGGGACTCAAACCTCCTGTGATAGGAAAATAATCATTTACTCATAGTAATTCTGTGTTATTTTCTCCCCTAGTTAAAATGTGCCCAGTACTGGCCGCAAAAAGAAGAAAAAGAAATGATCTTTGAAGACACAAATTTGAAGTTAACATTGATCTCTGAAGATATAAAGTCATATTACACAGTGCGACAGCTAGAATTGGAAAACATTACAGTGAGTATGGCCTGAGCATCATGCCCTGCTTGAGGTGGATCGCCCTTTGGGGGACATTCCCTGATGCCACTTTTTCCTGGGTTTCCATATCCTGAATGAGGTGCGGTTGGCACTATGGTGAGCAGAGCTTGCCTGCTAACCAGGGTCCCTGGGGGGAGGGTCGTAGATGCCAGAGGCCCCTTCTGCTCTTAGCACTGGTCAGCAGCAGCTCTTAGGGGAGCGCACACGTATCCATGGCTGGCCGTCACCCCGAGGGATTTTCAGGTAGCCTGCACTGCTAGTCCTGCAGAGCTGTGTCTTCTTCCCTTCCTCACTGTCTTTAGTCTGAGCAGGGGAGGAAGGGCCTTCCTGGGCTGCCTCCAGTTTCATAGCAAGTGTTAAATGTTCTCGGTGAGGTCTTGGGTTTATTTGTTGTGGAAACATTCATAACCCCAGCTGCCGACTATCATTAAAAGATGATCTTAAAACCTGGCAAAGCAGCACCGCAGACAGCTCTCCCCGTGGGCTGTCAGGCTGAGGAACCCGTGCCAGCCCCGGGGATGGGTCAGGGTGGCACCTGGGGACACCCTTCACCGGGTGATCAGCTGCTCCCTCTGGAACCAGACTGCCTGGGTGTTGCCTCCTGGCCCACCGTAGCAAGCTGTCAGACCAGCAGGGCTTCCTGTCTCAGCCTGCTCTCCTCTCGAATGCAGGGGAGCATGCTTGGGCTCGGGCATGATAAGTGCAGGGTTGGCAGGTGCTGTGGGGTTGGAGTGATCAGGGTGAGTCCGGGGAGCCACGCCGAAGTGCTCATGGGACTGTGGGGAGAGGAGGGATCTGCCTCGAGTTACATTTGCGTCGTGCTTTTCCACATACGGCCTGCTCTTCATCGCTGCTCCTGCTGTTGGATGGCCGCTGGCATCAGCTCCAGGACTCAGCACAGGGTACTGTGAGGTGGAAGGAGGTGACGCCTGCCAGGCTGTTGGACTGAAGTGGCACGGTTTGAGCACGCTCTGCCTGTGTGAGGGCCTGAACCGTAGGCCCAGCGCAGTTGCACACAGGGCAAGTTTGATGGAAGATTTTCAGGAATCACGTTGGCAGCATATTGGAACATGCTGGAGAATGATGTAGATGTTAATGCTCTTCAACATTTGTAAGCCTGGCATTAAGAGTGACTTCTGGTAAACTCCAGAGAAAACTTCTCCCGCCTGTTGAGGGAAATGTTCAGAGCAGGAGGGGGCTGTGCTGCTCACGCGGTGGAGCCAGGGCCGCAGTGCTGATAGCAGATCTGTTGCTCTGGCAGACTGTGTTCTCAGAAAGTCTTTTCTCAGACCTGGGTTCAAGGCCAGGTCTGGAATGAACTGGAGAAAGAGGTGGGCAGGTGTGAGGTGTCTAATAAATAGGTTATCTCCTAATAAGTAGGAGATAAGCCATACATCTGTGGGGATTAAAGGAACTCACTTTGGGCGTGCTTTCTTAACTCAGTTTCTTGAATACATTTTTAAGCTCTTCTCCCCCAAAACAGAAGAGGTGTGTTTTTTTTTTCCTTTGAGACATTGAAGAATAAGGAGGTCATTTTCTAGAGAGGAAAGAATAGACTGGCTTGGCGTGACTCTCTAAGTCACCCTGGTGTCATCCTCAGGTGTCCCCAGCTCTGCGGGAAGGCACCAGCACTGCGGCTCAGGCTGATCTGTGCCATCCCTGCTGGTTTCACGTCGTTGTTGTTCATTAGAGACCCCTTGACTTGTCCTTATCACGCAAGGGTCAGACAAGGGTGTTATCACTAGTGAAACTGGTCCTGGGAGGGCCAGGTGGTATCTTTGAACATCATGGTGCCTGGCATGGTGGCTGGCGCATGGTAGGCACCTCGTAGACGTTTGCCAGATGAGGGAGGAAGGCATCGCTGGTCAGCGGGTCTGCGGCCCGAACGTTTCTTCATCAGCTGCTCTCTGGGCACTGACTTGGCATCGCGCAGCCAGAGGCCCTCGAAGCCGGCCTGGTTCCAGAGTGCTCGGCTGCATGCGGTGCCCACTTTAGTGAGGCTGCAGGTCTGCCTAGCTGGTGACTGGCGCCCTTTTACCTGCGCTCTTGGGTGAGTAGAGAGCTTAAGTGCTGCCCCGGGACAGCCCACTTGGTCATTGCTCCTAGGGACCTGATGTCCGGCCTGGGAGTGGGCTCTCATAGGCCCAGAGTTTGTAGCAGAGCTGGAAACAGCCCTCGTTCCATTCCATGAGAAACACTGGGCCAGAGGAGAAACACTTGGGAACAAGTGCTTCCCCTCATGAGTCTTGACCTGCAAGCCTCAATCTCCTGATCTGGAAAATGGAAACAGTGGGGCCGCGTACCTCGAGGGCTCTGTTGTCAGAACTCAGTGAGCTGCTGAGCCCAGCCTGGACCTTGGCAAACACCCAGTTTGGGGCGCTAGTGGGCCCTGCCGGTCTTGTCGACATCCTTCTCCTCAAGACCCGTCTGCTCAGCTGGATATTGGGCGCATATGGTGACCACCTGTCTGGAGACCACGTTGGTTCCTTCTTTCTGTGGAATGACACTCTTCTGAGCCTCACAGAGCCATCCACACCACACACTTGCTCACAGCAGGATCACCGTGGGTGGCGATGCGGCCTCCCACCTGTGGGGGGAGGCGTCACTGGCACCATGAAGACGCCAGGAGAGAGGGACCGGGGAGAAAGGTGCGGGGACAGCTCCGGCCTCAGGAAGTCTTAACTTGAGGCAGGAAACGGGACCCATCGCTTGAGACGTGGTGTTTGGTGACAGGCTTGGAAGAACATCTGGGCGCTAAAGCTGCTCTTCGTTGGGAGGGCGGGTGGGAGGGTGCCCCGTGCCTCCTGGGAACTGCTGTTTTCTGTACAGGGGACTCCTAGAGTCAGCGTGACTCTTTTTCTCTTTCAGTCTCAAGAAACTCGAGAGATCTTACATTTCCACTATACCACGTGGCCTGACTTTGGAGTCCCCGAATCACCAGCCTCATTCCTGAACTTTCTTTTCAAAGTCCGCGAATCGGGCTCACTCAGCCTGGAGCACGGCCCCATCGTGGTGCACTGCAGCGCCGGCATCGGCAGGTCGGGCACCTTCTGTCTGGCTGACACCTGCCTCTTGCTGGTAAGGAGGCTCTGTTCCCCTCTGGCTGCCACGGCTTCTGTTTCCATCGTCTCTGGTAAACCACCTTCAGTCTTTGCTTCTTAGCAGTTTCCCTCTGTGAAAGTAGTATTTTGCTCAAAGGGATGCTTTTAATTGGAATGTGGAATCCTGGAAGGTGCAGAGAAGCGCCTTCTTTCTCATCTCTCCTCTCAGCTCAGTCCCAACTTTGCTGCATTTTCTAACATTTCTAGAATTCTGCCTTCCAGAAAGTCACATTTGCACTTGAGGGTCGAGGGTGGCTGAATTGTACCTCCTCTCTGCCTTTAGATGGACAAGAGAAAAGACCCTTCTTCAGTCGATATCAAGAAGGTCCTATTAGAAATGAGGAAATTTCGCATGGGGCTGATCCAGACGGCAGACCAGCTCCGCTTCTCCTACCTGGCTGTGATCGAAGGTGCCAAATTCATCATGGGAGACTCTTCAGTGCAGGTCAGCTTTGCTTTTGCTGTAACCAGGGGTACTGATTTTAAATGTGTGTGCGTTGTTACAAAGTTCAACCACTATGGAGGAAACATCTGCCCAAACATCTGTTTAAACAGCTAGAAAGTTGCGGGGCTGATCACTGTGTTCCAGTTCTGCCTTTGAAGCGTTCACATATCAAACACTGATAGGGAGACAGGACCTTATTTCCAAAGATCTCGTCTCCGAGGACCTGTCTGGCAACCCGAGAGGCAGGGAGCACTCGCCACGCTGTCGCCTTTGCCGCCTGGTGAAGGCCGCGGGCTTCCTGCCTGATGAGCCACACGTGAGCCTGACGGGGCTTTCTGTTGCTGCTTTTTCAAGGAACAATGGAAGGAGCTCTCCCACGAGGACTTGGAGCCCCCACCCGAGCACGCCCCCCCACCTCCCCGGCCACCCAAACGAATCCTGGAGCCACACAATGGGAAGTGCAAGGAATTCTTCCCCAACCACCAGTGGGTGAAGGATGAGACCGAGGAGGACAGAGTGGATGGCCCTGTCAAGGAAGAAGTCAGAAGCCCCTTACATGTCCCCTGCGACGTGGATAGGTGCGTGAGGGCCCCCAGCTTATGCGGGCAAGGGGAATGGCCTGTCCCAGAAGCACATGTTGGTATTGAATTCTGTGGACACAGGCTCTTTGTGGCCAGCACCCGCTCCGTGTCCTTGGGGCCCTGGGGCCAGGCTCCTGCCCTGCCTGGAGGAGCCCTGGTTGGAGCTCAGGTTAGCAAGGGAGGCGGCTGGCTTCGGTGGGGTTCTAGCGCCATCTTGTGGTACTCGTTGAAATTGGGGGCTAGTGCCACCAAGCCTGGCATCTGCCCAGTGGTAACAGTGCCCAACCCGCCTCCTTCTGTCCCCTAGGGCTGGGGCTTGGTCCTGCTGTTCACACAAGATGTTGCTGGGGTGAAAGGGCCATGGAGCTGCCCCGGGAGGCAGGACATCCTGTGGCCAGGATCTCCCTGATGATGGAGCAAGGGTAGAAGGGTGGAGGCCTGTTGAGGAGAGCGGGGAAGAGCAGGGCCTGGCCTCTTTCAGGCCCACGAGCCTCTGCTGGCCTTTCCTGAGACAGCCCTGGAGCAAGAATAGCATGTGTCGCTCCTGCTGGGGGCCTCCCACTCGCCACTAGGAAGACAGCGGCAGGCTGCCTGGCCAACAGCCCTATGGAGAGTGCTGGGGCTGGGCTGGGCTGGGCTGGGGGTGGAGGGAACATGGGCTGTCTCGTGTAGCAGCATCTGTTGGCCCCCAGAGCGGGCGTGGTAGCCTGCAGGCCACACTGTTGCTTCCCTGAGCCGCAGGGGAACAGTCTACAGCGCACCCCAGGGCAGTATTTGCATCAGTGGCTCTTTTTCTCATTAAGCCCTCACCCCCATCACCAGGGAGTCCGCAGACTCCAGGAACCAACCCTAACCGTGGGGGCCACCTGGGTACTGGCTGGCAGGTGGTGACCGGCAGGCTTCGGGTTGGTGCCGTATCTCCATGCTCCCCCCCCCCCGTTGTCCTAGAATGCCCCCCATCATCTTCTTCACACCCTTGCCATCCTTTCCCCAGAGTGAGTGACCCACCCTGCCCCTCTCCTCCCTCAGCACGAGTCAAGACACTGAAGTCAGACGGCGGGTCGTGGGGGGTGGTCCTGCCCCGGGGGAGCCATCGCCACCCAAGGAGGAGCAGGACCAGGCGCCGACTCACTGGAAGCCCTTCCTGGTCAACATGTGCATGGCCACGGTCCTCACGGCCGGCGCCTACCTCTGCTACCGGGTGTGTTTCCACTGACGGCCGGGCCGGCGGACAGCGTGTACGGAGAGCGCTGGCCGGCAGCCGGCGTTGGGTCAGCGCTGCGGAGGACCTGAGCCGGTCTCAGAAGAAACAGCTCAAAGGTTTGAAGTCTGGAACTGTGAAGGGCTAATGAGAGCGTTGAGGATTGATGCACTGGGGTTTTAAGGAGCCCTGTGGTCCCAAGAATTTAAGAGACTAATCTCAGGGCCTTAACCTATTCAGGAGTAAGTAGAGAAAATGCCAAATACGTCTCTCTCTCTTTTTTTTTTGTTCATTTGTTTTTGAAAAAAAAAAAAATAGAATTACAACACATTGTTGTTTTTAACCTTTATAAAAAAGCAGCTTTTTGTTATTTCTGGGGGGTAAAAAAAAAAAAAGACTAGGCGCTTATGAGACTTTCTTGTACCCCTTGGTGGCATAATCAGACACACGATGTATGTCGGGTTTCCCAGGGAAGGACTCCCACACTTTTACGAATGTAAACGCCTTTGGAGAAGAGGGTTTAGGGTTCAGGTTGCTGCCTCGCTCGGCGCCGCCCACCACAGTGCACACTGAGCGTGCACAGGGTCCGCCACCTTTCCCGTTTGGGGAAGAACAACAGCAAAAGTCCGTCTCAAAAAAACAAACCCGGCTTCTGCTTTTGCTCAGGTGTCCTCGTCCGCTGCGTTAGCCATCCCGCCTCCTTCCAGCTTGCTCACGTCCTGCCCTCGCCACCCCTTCCCCTAAAAGGGCTTCCTCCAGCCTCCGCCTCAGTGTCAGAGGTCACCCCAGGGTGGCTCCCAGCTTTTCAGCCTGCCCTTGAGGCCCAGAAGGAGCAGTTTCCACTGCTTCTGGAAGGCGTGCCATCACAGTGGCGCCTGCACCGCGGATGCGCGTTGCTGCTCGAGTGAGAAGAGAGGAGGGTTCTCGCCATTCTGGTTATGGAAATCGCTTCGCGAGGCAGTTTTTCTTGTCATTTTATGTTTAACCTCTTCCAAGCAGCCATCTCTGAGGGCATCAGCAACATGTAGGCCCCCCCCCCCCCCCCGCTTAGAGCTGATTTTTGGGATGAGGAGGCTATTGTCAAAACAAAGCAGAACAAAACATACTTCATGGAGGCTGCAGAGGCCGCGAGGGGCTCAGGGAGGGCACAAGTCTGCAGCGCAGAATCTAACACACACACACCCCCACCGCCCCGCTGGCAGAGCCCGTCCCGACCAGCCGGCACCTGTGGTGGGCAGGGCCCAGGACAGAGTAGCGCTAGAACCACCCTCCCTGGGGCCGTCTCGCCCGTCTCCTTTCTCCCCGCCCCTTCCTTTGAGTCCCAAATCCACACCCCATCTTTTGAGAGCGCCTAGGAGCGTCCCGTGACCGAGAGGAGAAGCGACCCCCTTGGTGCCTCCAGCGTCTGCACTGGCCTCCTCCGAGGGGGAGGGAAGGAGCCTCCCCATTTTTTAAAAATCTCCCCCTTCCCCAAAGGCGTCCATAGTGCACTAGCATTTTCTTAAACCAATAACGTATTAAAATTTTTTGATGTCAGCCTTGCATCAAGGGCTTTATCAAAAAGTACAATAACAAACCCTCAGGTAGTGCAGGGGAAGCAAGACTGGGCCGCGAGCCTGCTGCCCCAGACCGGCGCCAGGGAGGCGGACGGTGGCGAGCAGGCGTCGTTTCGTGACGTTGTGGGTAGCGAGAAGAGGTTTGGCATATGTTTATAGACGTGGGATAATATATAGTGACCACTTGGGTATTTAAGACACATGACGTGAGATTCCTCGGTCCCGGTTAGCCCCGCCCCACCCCGCCTGCCCCCGCGCCCGGGCGCCGCTGTCCCTCTGTGTATTCGGATGCATGTGCCGTCTCGTGTCCCGCTCAGATACCACGTGCTTGCGACGCTTAGGTCTCTGCCGACTTGCGTGCCCGTGTACAAGCCCAGTGTCCCTTTGCATGAGCTGACTGTTATTACGTGGCTGTGGTTCCGAGGCTGTTGCTCAAGTTGTCACCACTGTGGTGATGTGGCCCAGTGCCCGGTGGTTGCCTAGTTCCTGGCACCGTGCTCTGGGAGGCCCGGCCTGTCCCTGCCCAGCTGGGTCCCCGGTAACTCAGACATTCCAAGGGGAAGGAAGCCATCGTCACACCTCACACTCTGGACATGTAGGTGGGCAGGGGTCCCCCCACACCTCCCCTCGGGATCAGCCTCCACTGTCCCAAGTTCACACTCCTTGAGCAGACCGTGATTGGGAACCAAGGCGACGGTCAAAAACCACACTTCTCGAAATGACCCGGATGCAGCCCCTGTGAGTCACCCCGCTGCACTCTGGGTCTGGGGCCTGGCCAAGAGGCGTGCCTGCCCCCACCCTTGACCCTGGGGCCTGATGGTGCTCACAACTCTTCCTGCGAGGGGAACTCAGACCTCCACATTAAGTGGCTTTTTTAACAAGAAAAAAAAACAAAAGGCAGCTGTAGCTCACAAGCTGCTCTTCGGCCAGCATTTTCACATTTTGCCTTTCACGTGTGAGAAGCCCGAGCAGAGAAATTCTGTGGTGGGAACATTTGAGGCATCGCCCCGCAGAGCCTTGGTGAGGTGTGGAGAAGGCCAAGGTGCCAGGCTGCAAGCGTTTCTGAGTTGGGCTTGTTTGTCCCCGAAGTCCTGTATATGTTGTGGTAGTCGGGTGTGTGTAGATAGTAGCACTTCAAAGTGGATGTACTGGCTTAGCCTCCTGTCCTTGGAAAACTGATGGTTCTCCATCCGTCACATGTATGTTAGAGAAGTAGCGAGCTGCTCTGCTATATGCCTTAAGCCAATATTTACTCACCGGGTCATTCTTTTTTACAATGGCCATGGAATAGACCGTTTTTACAAAAATAAAAACAAACAAAAAAAACCGAGGTGTTTGGTATAATGCCTTTTCAGGTGTGTGTATATGTGGGTGCATGACGGGGCGGGGCGGGCTGGGCGGGGAGGGGGGCGCGTCTCAGGGTCTTCTGTGGCCACAGAACGGTCAGACTGTACAGTTTTCCAACTTGCCATATTAATGATGGGTTTGCATTTTAGTTGCAACAATAAAACTTTTTCTAAAGAACATGGATTTGGGGGACTTCCCATTTCTTTGCTTAATGGGCCTAAACCGGGATGGGCAGCTCCTGCTTCTTTCCATCGGGCTGATGGGAAGCAGATGTTGTCGGCCGGCGGGGTTGTAGTTTTCCACGTCTTGGACGTGACTATCCCGGGGCTGGGGAGCTTGTCCTTGCTGGCGAGTTGCTTACACTCAGCCTGTCCCCTTCAACAGCAAAATGCACCTTCTGAAGGCGTGGGACCCCAGGGTCACTTAACGGGCCTACCCAGGCCGTGTGAGGAACTGTTCTCACCTCCAGAACGCGTCCTCGCCAAGGCCAGGGCGACCCCGGTCACCACGGCCCGACACCTCCAGTCACCCCCATGTGGGATTGTCATAGAACTAACAGTGAGAGGCAAAAAAGAGAAACTGGGCTCCTCGTTGTTTCCTGTACAAAATTAAATGTAAATCTCCCCCAAAGTGATTTTTTTTACTTTGTTTTAAAATAATTTCAGACTTGCAAGACGCTGCAACAATAGTACAAAGCATTTCACTAGCTGCTCCGAGGCTTGACACGGTGGGGTCCGTGGGCCCAGGAAGCTAAAGGCAGGCTGGGGTCCCAGGGCCACCCCATGCCCAGAGAGGACTGGGGGGGGGTGGTGAATGGGGCCTCCACATCATTGTCACTTAAATCTGTTTCCAGTAGAAAAGGGACATTTCTAAGCTTTCATGGAGAGGAAGCGCACCAGTGCGGGAAACAGGAATGAGGTGCTAAGTTTGGAGCAGAAATCAAGCAGAGGGAGCAGAGCCAGACAGGGGCTACGCCTCGTGTCTGGAGAGGAGAGGGCGCCCTGGAGCCTTCAGCAGCGCGCGGGGTGCCCCGGGGGCCACCACTGAGGCTGCTTCCTTCACTCCAGCTTATGCGGGGGAACCTGCTCCCGCGTGTGTCCCTGGGAGGTCGAGGCGGAGAGAAAGCACCAAGGCACGGCAGGACGGCCTCTTCCCAGCAGGAGGTTTGGGAAAACAAACTTTCAGGTAACGTGCAACACCAATAAAAAATGTTTAATTGGATTTCAGAAAATGGAACATAGCAACAAGGCAAATAAATACTAAGTTAAACCAAACAGCACAAAATAGATACCGGAACTTTAAATGAGCGTGTTTAAGTTACAGCTTCCAGTGGCTCTGCGGCGGCCACCTTCGGGCCCAGGGCCACTTCCACATCACACATGTACCTCGGGACACGTGGGGGTTTCTTAATAGACTTAACTAGAAAATGAATTTTCTTTGTTTAAAGCAACATACTTTTGTAGTGAAACCTTTCTTCAAACTAGCTAATGGCTTCAGAAGTAGTTATTTGAATAGGCCCTAAGTTGACTTGCTTCAAAAGTTGGATTCCATTTTGCTGAACGTGGTCAAAGCAGATGCTTTTACCAACATGACGCCCAAGGCTTCTCGCCAAAGGCATATCCTGCTTCCTACCATTGAGCACAGAACAAGGTCACCGTCAGCCATCAGACTCCCCAGTGGCCTCTGAGCTGCAGCTTTCGTGAAGAGAGTTAATAGGAGACCCCCTGACAGCCCCTTCCCAGCTCGCCCCTGGGGACAGCCTGCTGCCGTTGATTCGACCCCACCGCGCGCCGTCCTCTGCAAGGCGGGTCGGCCTGCTTGCTGCCTCTGTCCCAGTCTACAGAACCTGGAGGGCTGAGCCAGTGACCTGCTGGGAGGCCGCATTCTCCTCGTGGAGCCTTTTATTCCAGGCCTTGGCCCCGCCGCTGCATGGCTGACTGGAGCTGCCCCAGCTCTACATCATGGGACGGTCAGTCTCGGCCAGAAGGCGAAGGTTTATTGGAGTGCGGTCCCCTTATCTGCTCCTGGACAAAAGCACTGCTTGCCCGGGAGCCTCAGGAAGTAGCTCTGGCCTACGAACGCTTGGGGTGCGGGCCGCTCAGTGTGGCCCACACCCAGAACTCAGGCCGTGTCTAGGCTGAACAGCAGCAAAACAGGCCAGATTTGAGCTCGTCGGTTCAGGCTTTTTAAAATATTGTGATTTCAACATCTGCGTCCGGGCAAAAGGCTTCTCTTTGTTCTGAGTAGAGTTTGTCCATCTTCTCGAAAGCTAAGCGTCCCTTTTCACCTGAAACAGTGAAATGACCCATCACTGGCTTGTCCCTCACCTCTTTGCTTCCTTGGGTGGGGGGGGGCAGGGTTGCCTCAGAGCTTACTAGCCTGTGGGTCTCGCGCCTGGGGGTGAGGGTAGCGTTAGGGAGTCCCTACCCCACCAGGTCTCGTGGACCAGCGCTCCACCCACACGGCCATGACGGGCTGCCGAACTGCTGCCCTGCCTCGCACCTGCCGTTCATTCCAAGGCTCATAAGCGGAAGTTTAAGGAGGAAATAAGCACTTCTTGCCCCCTCAACCGTGCAGGAAGCCCACCCTGGCCAAATAAACGGGTCACGTGCGCTATCTTGTGTCTTCCGAGACGTGGCCGCGGCCTCTCCAGCGCCACCTTTCCTGAGGGCCCCGGCCCCCACTGCTCCCACCTCCTCGGACGTGCCCCTCACCGAAGGACAGCGTCGCTTCCCGGGCTGCCGCCCGCACAGACTCCAGGTCAGACTGGCACAGGCTGGCAATCTGATCGATGCTCTCGACGCCCTGGGTGAGGTGGGCAAAGGGCTCGTTAGGTGCCATTTTTCAGCAGCAGACAATTCATTCTGGGCCCAGCGGGGCCTTGGGGCCTCCGACTCAGCAGAAGCCCCAAGGGTCTCGGCTTCTCTCCTAAGCCCAGTTGGCCAGCCAGGCCGTCGGCAGAACTGCCTGGGCACCTGAAAGGCCCCTCTGGAAAATGAGAAAAGCTGCTTCCCTGCAAGTCTCCCTGTCTCCTCTCCCTGCTCCCCCAGCCCTGCCCTCCAGGTGGGGCAAGGGGAGGGGCCAGCAGCCCCCTCCCCCAGTTCAGGCACAGCTGACCCCGCAGCTCCCCGTGTGCGGACCAGAGTCCACTTGCACTCCGCCTCCTGGGCACCCGTCCCCAACTGGCCAATTTGATCATAACCACATGGTTGTCCTAGGATTTCCTGTCGGTTCCAGAATGAATGGTTGAGTGACTCTCACGGGGCTTGGACTTCGGTATCGGGATTTTCACTAGCGGACTGGTCAGCTCTCTAAAGAGGGGCGTGCTCCAGCTGTGGGTGTTGAGGACGAACAGGCACCCCAGTGGGGACGTTGTATCGGAGACCCGGGCGTTCTCGGGCCCTGGAGTGGCCCCACAGGGAGCCTGGCCTGAGGAGGTAGTTCAGAACTCTGTGTTTGGAAAGCTTTGCACACAGACATGTTCACGTTCCTCCTCAGAAGTGGGAGAGAGACCCTACGGCCGTGGCGGGGGCGTGGGTGTGGGTTCCGTCCAAGCAGACCCCCAAGGGGCCCCTCCTGGAGAATTCCAAGGCGCTCCCAGCCCGACCAGAAAGTTCCTCCTCTCATCACTGTTTTTAAACTGTATTTAACGTGACCAACGATCTTAAATGCTAAAGCACACCCGCAGACAAACAGCAAGATGTTTGCGGCAGTGGCTTCTGCTAAGTATAAAGATGGATCCCTTTCTTTTATGTTTCCGTATTGTACACATTCTCCTACCCTGAGATGACGGTGGGAAATTTTAGAGGTTTTTTTAATCAAAGAGATTAACCCACATCATCCAGGAGCTCAGAAGAGAGTCCCTGGGGCCACCCACTCACCCACGGGGAACCAGAGCCAGCGCCACTGGCCAGGGCCTCGGTGGCGGGGTGGCGGCTCCTCTGAAACCAGGGCCTCGGGGCTGCCTCGCTGGTGGTGATTCTCTTTTGGTCCCAGTGGGATCAGTTTGAGGTGGACCAACTAGCATCGGCCCCGGGCAGGCGTCTCCCCATCACCTGCGGAGCAGACCCGACTCACCCCGAGGTGTCTTAGTGCCACGCACGCGGCTTGCTGGAGTCTCGCGTCCTTCCCCGTCAGGGCGTCCGTGTAGAAGAGCAGAGCCTGGGAAACAGGAGGCTGTGAGTGGGGCCGCCAGCAGGGAGCCACGTCCGCTGGCCCGCGCTCAGCCTGCAAACGCCGGCTGCCGGCAAGCCTGCCTGCTGCCTTTCCTCTGAGCAAGGCCGGGCCGCGGCCTGCCAGCCTTCGGGAAGGCCCCGCCGAGAGGCGTCCTCGGGCTCGTCTGAAACGCCGTTCCTCGGCTGATGCTAGGAATCTGCAGAAAGCGCTTTCTGGCTAATGATGTTATAACATTCCTTCAGGGTCCGCCGTCTCTATGAAAGCTCAGGAGAGCAACCCGACGTCCAGCTGGGAACAGAAAATTGAACATACAGAGGGAGCCGGCCCGGCAGCGGAGGCACCTCTTCCCCTCCTGCCGCCTTCCCGTCACAGTCCTGTCCCTGCCCCGCAGCCACACGAGCACGGCCAGGTCATGGCAGCTGGAGGGTACCCCTAGGGTTCACGGCCCGGCACAGGAAGGGCTAATTCAGGGGCCCGTGGGGCTCACTGCGCCTTCTAGCGCAAGGGAAAGGAAGGTGAAGGGGGCACGAGCCAGGCAGGAGCCTGGTATCTTCAACACGTGAATTGCCAGGGAAAAAGAGATGAAGTGGGCACTCGGGGTGCAAGGAGTTTAACAGATACAGCCGGTCACGAGGTGAGGACTGTACGCGGGTCCTGACTCAGCGAGACGGGGGAAGCCACTTAGTATACTTGGGAGTGTGAGTAATAGAGACAGCCAAGCCTCGGGAATTGTGAGTTGTTTCAGGTGTGATGACAGGGCCGTGCCTTAAGGCTCCTTACAGAGGCGGCCTTTGATATTCACAGGTCAGGCCGCTTGTCTGGGATGGTGTCTTGAGATCTTGAGATGGGGGGCGGGGGGCGTCCGGGCAAGGCTGACCCCAGGGCGGGCTTGGGTGAGGGTGTATATGGGTGATCACATGGTTCTGGCCACTTGTGAGCTGAACGCAATGCCCACCGCACAGCAGGTGTGCCCCGGAGGACAGCGAGCAGCGCCCCTGGTCCCCTCTCCGGAGATCAAGAGGACTGGAACCTTAGATCTAGAACAGTCACTGGTCCAGGAACTAATCATTTAGGTGACCTCTTGCCGAGGAGTCCAATCTCTTGGTTTTTAAGTGGACAGAACCTGGCGATCCATCGCCAGCCAGTCACACATGTCATTTGAGTCAGTGACATCATATTTCTATGGGCCAGTGACGTCTCGGCGACTGACCAGACGTGCGGCTTTAGAAACAGAGATGAGCTGGGTGGTCAGCTTGTGGCTGTGCTTATCTGGGTTCAGCAGGTGATGGCCTGATAGCCCCAGCTCCGATCCTTCCCCAAGGGGTGCTCATGTTTGGAGCCCCCCTTAATCAAAATACCTTGCAGTGAGTACAGCCCCGGTCACTGTATTGTTACAGGGGAAAAAGCCTCCCACCCCCACACCCCTGGGGCAGGGGGCTGCCACCACCCCTTCTCACACGCTACCTTTTCTCGAAAGCTCCTATTCCCGGCTGCGCTGGCCAGGCGCTCACTGGCCACCTGGCACGCCCGCGGGGTCCCATCCAGCTGGAGCAGCGCCCAGGCGCTCAACGTCTGGGGCAGGGGCTGGAGCTGGCCCAGTCGCTTCCCCTGCAGCTTCCTGATGGTCTTGAGCCTCTCCGGGCACTGCAGCTCCTCCGCCAGCGTTACTAGAAGGGACAGGAGACGTGGCCCAGGGCCCCTGCTGGCTGGGGTCAGGCTGTGTAGCGGCAGGTGGGTCTGGCCACTGCCAGTTGCCAGGGAGAAACAAACCCCAGGGCCAGTCCTGTGATCACCAGGCCCAGCCCCCACTGGAATCTCTAGGACTTTCTAGAGTGGGCCCCAGTACACCCTGAACATTCACAGCTTCCCAGCCCACGCTGCAGGGACTCTGGCCAGCCAAGTGTCACCCCCATATCTGCTCTGACCTCTGCCTCTTTGTAAATTAGCTCCTTTCCTTGGAGCTAATTTCACTGCGTGGGCTGGACGTGGGATCTAATTAAAGCTGGATTCTCGAAAGAACAGTGGGAGGGGGCAGGAATGTGGGTCTGAGAACCTGACCCCGAGAATCAGGGGCTCCCGGATATCTCTTTGTCATTACCATGTGGATTTGAGGCCACCTGCCCCCACCCCGCTCTGCCTCAGCCCCTACCTTCCTTGGTGAGCTGGGCTAAATGCTTCTCCAGGTCGGAGACGCTGTGCCTCTGCAGGTAGCCATGAAGCTGGAACCAGGTGACCGTCTGTTCTTCGGGGGGCCCGACTCCGGGGAGCAGCCCACTGCAGCTAAGCACCTGCTCCAGTAGCCGGCGGCACGCTGGCAGGACATGGGAAGGAAGGAGAAACAGAGCATCTCACGGGACATGGAGGGGTCCCTCCCTGCCCCCGTGATCTCACTGGGATCCATAGGCCCAAGTCGGGCTCCTGGGGTGCCTCAATGTGCCGGGACCCCAGATCCCACCTGCCTGGATCTGTGCCGGAACTGGGGCCTGGGAGCAGCCCGGGGTGTTGTGAGCATCTCCAGCTCCCGTCACTGCCTGGAGCCCAGTGTCACCCTCCAGCAGTGGACAGAGAAGGCCACGGCCCTGCAGGTATTCCTGGGAGGAATGCCTATGTCGGCCCGGCCTGCCTACCTGCCCGTAAAACTTCCTTCCTAACCCCTGGAAGGATCCGGGGGAGCTCTGGAATCTGCCCCTCAGAAAAATGCACCCACTCACTCAGGCTCCAGGCTTTGGGGTCCACAGACCCCATCTTTCTCTCCCCAGGAAAAGGGAATGAACTGTGGCCAAGCTGAGAAGCCGCCTCCGCTGGGCGCTAGGAAGACACCCCCGGGCCCTGGAGACTGAGCCGCCTTCCCTGCTAGGCCCGGGACCTACCGATCTCCAGCTGTCCCGGGTGCTTCCCTCTGACTCTGTGCAGGAAGGTTTTCTTAAGCTGACTCAGCAGCATGGCGGCTGGGCAGGACAGGACCCTGCCGGGCTCTGTGCACCCCCTCCACAGCTTCAGGCACCCCTTCCTCCGTGTGGCCTGCGGGACGACTGAAAGCCCAGGCTCAGAAGCCTGCCTGGCCAAGGGAGCGCCAACACCAAAGGGGCCCAGGGGCTGGACGCAAGGGACTGCAGGGCCTAGTGCAGTGCCCTCTGTGACACAGAGGGCAGTGCTGGCTGTGGGCACAGCGCCCAGGTCCCTACCATACCCCAGGCTGCTGCTATCACCAACCTCCTCCTGGCCAAGGGGAGGCCCCTGGGGGCTAGAGGCAGAACTGGGCTCACAGCTACTGTTTATTTGAGCACCACTGCATGCCCTGAATGTGTCCCTGGGATTATGTCATTGAACCCTACCCAGGGGCCTCCCATTCTGCAGATGGGGAAACTGAGGTTCAGAGAGGTGAATCATTTGCCCAGAGTCACACAGCTGACCGGAGAGGCCATACAGCCTCCCTCCCTGCTGCTAACTCCGAGGCCATACCGCCTCCCTGCCTGTCCCCCGTGTGGGTGTCTCTCTGAGCCAGCCCAGCCCAGCCCCACTGGGCGCCAGTTAGCCTTGTGTGTCGCAGAGGGAGACGAGGCCCAGGGCTTTAGTCCCCAGCACTGCAACCGTTCCCATGAGCAGCCTGTGGTGCAGGCGGTTACTTACTCTCCTCAATGGACTTGGCCTTGCTGACCTTCTCAAAATCAAGCACCGAGAGTGTCTCCAGAACCTGTGTCTGCTGTGCTGCTTCTTCCAGAAGGCATTCCTGCACTATCCTTGACAAGTTGGGTGAGGCCAGTTTCTGGGAAGCAGCCAGCCGTGCTCCAGGTCAGCATGGGGCATGCCCTTTGCCAGCTGTCACCAGACCCGCCCCTCCTGTCCCCATGGTGGCTCCCTGACTGTCCTCTGGGGATTCCCCCTTCACCAAGGTGGCTGAGATGACAGATGCAGGCTGGAGCTGCCGGGGCCACCTTTGTCGTCAGAAGGAGCCAGACTGCCTGAGAATGGAGCCAACCCACGTAGAAAAATTGCCAAGAGAGGGAGAAACCCAGTCAGGATGATATTTCAAACCCTGGAACCAGCTGGACCTGATGCCCACCTCTGGGCCTTTCAATTCTATGAGCCAATAGTTTCCTTCCGGCTGGGCCCATTTGGATCAGACTTCTGGCTCCTGCAACTGAGGAGCTGCTGCCACTGCCTTTGGTTCAGGGCTTGGGCTGCAGCTGAGCCACGTGACGATCTACCCAGCCTGAACCCTCACAGAGGAGCCTCCTGGCTCTCGGGGAGCAGCTCCCACATGCACCACTTCCCCCCCTACTTTCAAAACCAGTCCTTTGCACAAAGGAATCCCACCCCCAGCCAGCCCCCCAGTGAGCCCTGCCCAGCCCCGCCCCGCAGTCACCTGCAGCAGAGCTCTGCAGACTTGCAGGTGGGCGGTGAGCAGCGTGTCTAGCTCGGGGGCGTCTGCTATGAGCTCCCCGGGTGCCACGGTCAGGGCTGGCGGTGGGGGCGGGGTCCTGGCCTTCCTGAGTGGCATGGACAAGAGCTGAGTGACCCTTAGCGCCGTTAGCAGTTTGGCTCCCTCCAAGGGTGGGGAAATCCTGCCTCCCTGCCGAGCTTTCAGGGAGGCCGACTCTAGGCCCCAGGGAGAAGGCAGTCAATGGAGGAGAAAATGAGGGAAAAAGGAAAAGCAGCAGAGGCCATGGGCCCTGAGCCCGGGGGAGCAGGGGCCCTTCAGGCTGGGCATTGCGAGGGAGAGAAGCCTGCAGTTCAGAGTCACCCAGCTCCGTGGTGCTGGCCACGATGCTTGCCCGGCCTCAGGGGACTCATCCGTGAAGTGGGGCCAGGAATACCAAGCCTGGGCAGTGGGGGGCTGGTGCAACCCAGATGGCCAGCGAGCCGGGGTGCACCTGCGGCCTGGGGGCGGGCGGCTGTGACCCAGTCACGCCGGGTGGAAAGGCCTCCGTGGACTGTGAGATGTTAGACGGTGGTGCCCTTCTGTGCTCTGAGGCTGGGGTGCCGGGGAAGGCCTCTTGACAGTGTGGCCAGAGTGGGAGACATGGGGTACTGCTGCGTGCTGCTTCCTGGGGGCAGGGGTCCTCCTGGGCACTGTGTTCTTAGGTGTTAAGATTCAAAAGTAAAAACCCGTTGGGAGTGGAGAGCTCAGGGCCACGCGGGGGCGTCTCGTTCGCTGTCTGGAAGGACCGCGCTGTGCCAGGCAGTGGCCCGCGTCAACTCTCCAAGTAAGGCATGGAAGGGGCCTCCAGGAAGCATGGAGCTAGGGCCAGCCCTGGGAGGGGGTTCACTCACCGGGGACCTTGGGAGCCCCCAAACAGGGACAGCTCGTGCGGGGCGAGGTCGGCGTTGAGGAAGGCGAAGCTCTCCAGGATGCACTCCATCAGGCTCTCGGCAGAGGCGCGCTCCGGGCGGGCGGCGCGGGGCTGGGGACAAGCGGCCACACATGAGGCCCAGCCAACTGCCCCGGCGCAGTCCCCCCCATGTTGGGACAGGCACGGGGTTGCAGCACTCCCTGAGGCGCCCCCCCAGGCCCGTGGCAGGTCTGGAGCCCACGTGCAGGGCAGACAGATCTGCAGAGCCTCATGGGCACCCATGGGCACCCTGGAAGGCTCGGGGGAGCAGGTGCCTCCCCAAGGTGGGGTGTTGCTGTGGTGCTCCCGCCACTGGGGAGCATGGGGCCGCTGTTGCCTGATTATTCCATTTTCTGAGAAAATGAAAAGCATGAAAACAGTTTCTGTGGGAAACTGCCCCGTGTCTCAACACCGGCAGTGCCAAATTATTTGTAACGTTCGGTGTGGGGCGCCGAGTGCCTCTCTGGGAGGCTCAAGGCTGCCGAGGAGCCTCTGGATTCCCGGCGGCTCTTCTCTCGGGGAAATGGGGAGGGTGCGGCCATGGGACGGCCCTGGGCTGGGGTTGGGCACGGCGGCCACCCCTCCCGCCACAGCCAGGTGGGCAGAGCCCTCCATGCCGGGTCCTGCCCGCATCCAGAAACCCCTGGCTGGAGACCACGGTCGTGTCCTGGCCTCTGGTCGGACCCCAGGCCCAGCACGTCCCGTTTAGCCCAGGCAGACGCTGCCCCCGGAGTCCCTAAAGTTGAGCCCACAGAGAAAAGCTTGAGCAACAAGAGATAAGAAGGCAAGTGCCAGGTGTCCTCGCCTGGCAGGGGGGAGCTGCCTACGTGAATGGGCACACGTGTGCACACGCGCACAGCAGGGCTCATTGTCCCAGGCGGCTCTGGTCTGTGAAGTCGCCGTGACCCCCGAATGGCGCTACTCAATCCTTGTGCCGAGTAAATGCCGAGGCCGGGGGCCCGGGTGGCCGCACCTTCCCCCACCCGTGGGTCCAGACCCCGTGCCGTGGCCGAGGCAGCTTGTTGGACACCCAGCGTGCGCTCGTTCACCCGGACCCCCGGCCGGCGCGAGGGCGCACGTTGAGCAAAGCTTTCCCAGCTCCCGCCCGTGTTCCCTGCGCACCCCAGCCTGCCGGCACGGGGCCCCCTTTCAAAAGCGAAATCACCAGAATTAGGGTTACGGGTGTGCAGCCCGCAGCACTCACGGGGCAGGGGAAGGGGCGGCTGCCCCCGGCGTGAGGCTGAAGGGAGAGGCGGGGACCTGCACACTGGGGGACTCCGAGTCCTCACCACATGCTCCCCAATGACCCAAGTGCACCCCAAGAATTAATTGGGGGGTTGTAAATGTTAGCAAGTAGGTGAATGTGCAAAGGCAGAATCCATGAATACTGAGAACTGAGCACACACATTTCTATACATGCCTATGTGTGTCTGTAATTAGCCTCACAAACCACAGCCTGGTTTCATTTTTTATTGCTCCGACTTGGTTTGCCAAAACAAGAAAAGTTTATAAATTCTGGCTTATTGTGGTGTTATTTTAAGATCTTTATGTAAAGGGAGTATAATTTTTCAAAACGCAGGTGACAAGCTGCCTGCGTGCTCACTCACATGGTTCTGCAGCACTAAGAGCACATTTTGGTATTTAGTGCTTTTCTGGAAATTTGCGGGCGGGTCCTCCTTGAAGCCCCAGCAGTGGTGAACGCGGCGCACTAGTGTAAGTCGCTGGCTATAAAGTGAAACGTTAAACTTTCACCTCTGCTGCTTTGTAATGTTGGGGCAGGACGGAAATAAAACAATCAACACTAATGTTTGAAGGGAGCTGTTCGGCACTCTGAGTGCCAGTGTGTGTCCTACACAAAAGACGTTTTCACGAATGAGCTGGGATGGGAGCAGGTGCCGTGTTACACATTTATTGTCCATACATTTAAATTCAAACCAAAAGAATAATCCGCCCAGCCAGCACCAGGCCCCGGCATGTGGCCTGGCCTGCAGGGTCGAGGTAGGCTGTGTAGCTGTTCAGGGGTTTTTCATGGTGGCAGATGTGACCCCAAGAACCCCCCAAGTTTGGGAACCCAACGCCGAGCTGTAGCCCCACCCCTATTTTCCAGGTCAGATCTGAGATGGGGCCAGATTCTGCCCAGGCGTGGAGTAACGATCCACCCCGAGCCCTGGTTTCCTCTCACAACCCTCCCCGCCGATGAGGACCGCTGTTGTCCCCACTCGACAGGTGAGTACACGGAGGCCCAGAGAGGAGACATCGCCCCCCCGGGTCACACAAGGGGGAGGGCAAGATGCCGCCCCCGGCTGCCTGCCCCCCATGTCCAATCCCAACCCGTCCACCATCGGCCAAGCAGGGCTGCCGCCCGGAGAAGGGCAAACATACCTTCAGCCGGTTCTGGAAGCCGAGGACCTGGCACTCCAGCTCCCGGAGCTGGGACCGGGCAAGGTCCGAGGACCTCAGTAAATCCAGAACCTCCTGCAGGGGCCTCTCGAGAGTCACCCCAAGCCCTTGCACCCCGTCCTCGGGTTCTTCTTCATCATTGCCTTTCTGGCTACCGGAGAGTGGGTGGCTATGAAAGGGGGAGCCCCGTGGCAGGCTGGGGCTCTCTACTTCCAAATTCCTCCAGCCAGGCTGCTCCACAAACGAGTTTCCCGCCAGGTGAGTCATCTCCGGCAGCAGGCCCAGGGGTGGGGGATCCTCTGGGGCCTCCTCTTCAATGGAAGTGTTGGGGCCAATGGCCAAGGGCAGGAACCCGACATCGGAGGTGGATGCCGATGTGCTGGTCTCGGTGTCTCGGGGATCCTCGGAGCTGAAGGAATCCATCTCGGGCAGCTCCTGACTCTGGCTCCGCAGGCCAGGGCCCTGGAGGTCACTGCTGGACAGGTAGCTGAGGATGGAGGTGGCCTTCGGGCCTCCCAGCAGCAAGTTCTGCTGTGCGGGAGGCTGCAGGACAGACTGGAGAGAGGCACATGGGACCAGCGTCACTGGCCCCCTCAGGGACCACAACAAGCCCCCAGAGGGCTCCCCAGAGACACATGTCCTGCACACCCACATCGTCAGGTGCCTGAGATCCACAAGGACCAGTGACCCTGTAACCTCCCTGCTTTGTCTCCCATCACCCCTCTAACTCCTCTGCAGTCCCAGCAGCTTCCTCGTTTCTTACACCCTCTAGGTTCAGTCTCTCATTCCTGCCTCAGGGCCTTTGCACTGACTACGCTCTGCCTAGAACATTCTTTACCATGTGTTCTCTGTGACTTGTGCCCCTCTCAGACCCATACTCAGATGTCACTGAAACTGAGGTTAAATGGTTAGCTGGGTCTCAGACGCTAGGCCACGAAAGAAAAGAAGAACCCATCTGACTTCCCCACTAAGAATTGCTCTCACAGACAACCAGAGCCTGGGCCACATCTACCTGATACAACCTGAGCGTGTGCAGAGCGACTAGCCTTGAGCTGAGCCCAGGCCTGCTGGAGCCAGGAGACACACATGCTTTTGAGCACAGATGATCTTTTAACTCAAGATCACCAGGCCCTACCATGGCCAGACAAGAGATTTTAATCAAAACACACAGTTGTGGGGCTTATTTTAAAGCCACTTGCTCCCCAAGGCCCAGAGGGGTGCCGCGCTTTGTCCAGCTCAGCGTTACTCTAACCCAGACTCGACAGAAAGCCCTTCTTTATGTCCCTGTTCTTGGGGCTCGTTGGGAATGAGTCTGGTGCCTCCCCAGCTCCAAAGTGACCTCCACGTGCCAATGCCCAGCCGCGCCCTCAGCACCTCCCTGACCCGGGATGGTGGCACAGCATGTAAGAGTCACCAGGTTGTAGACCGCCCTGAGCTGGTCATGGCAGACAACTGAAACACCTCGTGTCTCTTTAAATACAGACGCTGCAGCCAAAGGCGACCCTCCCCAGTGCAAACAGGGAGGAAGCTCCCGGGGGTCAGAGAGATCAGTCTCCGAATCAGCACTGGTTTAAAAGGGCTGCTGTAAAGTAAAAGCTGCAGGAGGAGATGCACTTGCTCCTGGATGGCATGGAGTTCTCTGGGAGAATATGGAAGAAGCTGACAACAGAGGCTGGTGCTAAGGGGGACCCACGTTTCTGGAGGGCACAGGAAGGAGATAGCTCGCTATGCCAGGAGCTCCCTATTGAAAACACAGTAAGTTCAAATTTAAAACAAATGAGTTGGAGATCAAGGCCAGGACGGGGGTGATAGAACCATCGAGAGACCCCAGTTCTGGATATCCAGAAAACAGCCAAATCCAGGACATCGTTCAGAGAGCCCCCAGAATGGAGGGGTTGGTGGCAAGGAAGGAAAGGACAAGAGAACAGGATAACCTCAAAAGGGGCTCAGCTTGCCATCCTGGGATCAGCCCCAAGCCCAGCTCACTCACCAGGTAGTATCTCTCCCGGAAGCTGGGGGTGCTCGGGGGTGTCCAGTTGTACAAGGAGCCCTTCCTGCTGCCCATGGAGAACTTGCCTGTGGGCCCAGGTGATACCAGGCAGCTCTCGGTGTCAAATGGGCTGGGAGAGAGAACAGAGGCCAGGGTGTCGTCGAGGCTGGGGGCCAGGTGGCCCAGGGATCCCCTGGTTCCAGGGACTTGGCTCCAGAGGACAGGTCCCAGCCCTCGTGGTGGCTGCTAGGGCACAGCCGGCCACCAGGGGGAGCCAGTGAGGCCCTCGCTGTGCTCTGGGGGAGTCCCCCTCTGGGCTTGCCCTGCGGGGAGCAGTGGGTCAGGAGCAGCCGGTGGGGAGGGGGTCCACCTCTACTCACTTCCACAGCACCTCCAGCTGCAGCTTGATGGTGCCCAGCTCTGTGATGTCCACCACGATGCCCTGAGGCCGGGTCAGGAAGAAGTCGGTGATGTCACACGTCACTGTGCCCACTGCCAGGGAGCTCAGGCCCCGCAGCTCGGTCACCTGGGGGGTGCGGAGTTGTGGGTGGTGTTCCAGCCAGCCAGGCACCCTGGCCCCGCCCCGACGCCCCAGCCACCTTTATCTCGAAGTTCTCGTGCAGGGTGGGGGTGAAGGCCCTCTCCTCCTCGTCCCAGGTCTGGCTGTCGTCCGACTCGATCCGGCCCTTCAGCTTCCAGCGCTGACGGCCCAGGCGCATGAGCACCTGCGGCAAGTCCGGGAAGGGCTGGGTGGCTGCCCCACATGGGGCAGGAGGGGGACCCTGGTGCCCAGCACCTCCCGACCCCCAGAGGCCTGCTGGGTCGCCCTGAGGGTGGCCATACCTCATACTGGTCTCCGGGACAGAGGCGTGCATAGCCCACCAAGCCTGGAAGACAGAGACGGGCTGATCTCTCTGCCCTCGGGATCCTGGCCCTCGCTGGGGGCTCCCCCCACCCCACTTGGATGTGGGTATCAGCTTCCGGGGTGGGAGGAAGCCATCACGGCTCCCAGGATTGTGACCAATGCCCCACCCTAAGCAGAAGTCCAGGCCCCAAGAAGGCCTGACACCCCCACCCAGGCTGGCCTCTGCCCACCCACTGCCAGCCCCGACCCCGTTACCTTTCATCCTGACGTGGAACTCGCCCAGATGAACCTCCAGGGCCCCCTCAATGAGCCACATGTCCTGCAAAGCCCCACACAAGGTGGCTCAGCCGCCTGCCCCCGGGCCAGGCCAGGTGGCCACGCACAGACCCTGCCAGACAGAGGCCGAGGGCAGAGAGAGATGCTTCCTTGGGGCCCTGGGCCACACCCCCACGCCCCCACACACCCCCCCAGGTGCCGGCCCACCTCCGTGCACTCCTGCAGGCTGCGGCCCAGCTCCTGCAGGCTCTCGCGGGAGGCGCGGCTGGGCGGGCACCTGGAGAAGGCCCGCTGCATGTTGGAGGCGCCGTCCCTCAGGCGGCACTGGATGCAGTAGCCCTCGTAGAGCTCGTCCACCTGCGGGGGCACGGGCCGGTGGGCACTGCCCGCACAGAGGGGCAAGGCCCCCTCCCTGCCTGCCCGGCCTCACCCTCTGGCCACTAACGTTCCCAGCCGCTATGGCGCTCCCGGGCCCCCGAGCACACGACCCCGTGGGGCAGGGACCACGCCTGCCTCTTCTGCTCGGGACTCCCAGCACCTGGCAGTGGCTGGCATGCAGTTGGGGCACAATAAACACCAGGAGATGGGCGTGTGACTGTGTCACTTCCCCTCTCTCTGCCGGATTTTTTGACTATAAAACGGGAGGTGGGCTGGTGACATCTGCCACCCACTCTGCCACCCCTGACTACAAGAGGAGCCAAGCAGCAAAGTTTGTGGACTGTGCGGGTCCTGCTGTGTGACCTTGGCCCATCCCTGTCTCTCTCTGGGCCTCTCCTCTCTGTACAATGGCGTGGTTGGGCTGAGACTTCCCGGCCCTCGAAGAATGAGTATGACTCATGATCTTTCTGTATAAATGCCCCTGGGGGACCCCCAACCACCCCCAGCCCCATTAGGGCTGCACCCCTCGCAGTCCCTGCTCATCTTCATCTTCCTCCATCCCACCACCCAGAGAAACCTCCCCCCACTAACCTAGAAGAGAGACGTCCGATTCCTCTAGGTATCCTGGCCCCCCTGCTGGGGCCCTTCCACCTTGATCTTGAAGTTCTTGGGCAAAGGCACCCCACCCCCCGCCCCAGCCCTGCAGTACCCCAAGAACCAGGCTGACCTTGCTGATGTGAAACTCCATCTTCCGAATGTGCCTCTCCACAGAGCGTGTTTGCTTCCCCGGAAAGAGAGAAAATGCTATAACAGCAGCCGGGGCCTCCCGCCAGCCCCCGCCCCCTGCCACCCTCCTCTGGGTGCAAACACACACGCTTGAAGCCAGGCCAACCTCTCACCACCCCTGAAGAAGGCTCATTGCTGAGCCTCAACTTCCCCATTTGCAAAATTGGGAGGAAAAGCAGGTCTTTCTCCCATAGGATGGCAGGGGGATGGATGCCAGACCTTGGCCCTCCCGGCACTCGAGGACAAGAATTCACTCACCTTGTCCAGGTCGTAATAGAAAGCCTACAGGGGAGAGAAGGAAGGAGGGAAAAGGTGTAAGAGTTCCAGAAGCAGCTCCAAGACCTATCAGGCTAAATGCCCAGGTGCCCAGGCTCAGAGGATAAAAAGCCAGCAGCTAGTCCATCCTCCGAGGCCTGCAGCCAGCTGACCGTGGTCAGGCCGAGGAAGAGTGAGTAGGTGCCTTGGGTGAGGAATTCTAAGCCTGGCTCTTTTCCCAGCTGTGTGTCCCGGGCAAGTTGCTTAACCTCTCTGAGCCTCCATTTCCTCATAGGTGAAGCCAGAACACCAGCCCCCTAGCATTGCTACTAGGAGCAAAGGACACAGTAGGTACTTCACAAAATGGGGACCATGGGCCTCCCCAGTGATGCAGTGTGTTGAGCGTCGCGCTGTGAAGCTGTCTGCAGCCTCTGCAGTGCTGGTTCGATTCCTGGCCGGCCAGGGAGATACCCAGGGAGATACCCACATGGCGCGGCAGACCTCTCCTGTCTTGTCTGCTGCTCCCCTCAGCAGTGTATTTCGGTCCTTCTGCCTGTTCTGGCCCCTGCTCTGTCTCTGGTGAATCCTCTCACCCTCCCGTGCCTCTGGCCTGTACCCCAGCTCTTGTATAAATAAATAAATCTTTAAAAAAAATGAGGACCATTGGGATTTGACTGTTTAAGGGGTGACTTCAGCCATGACCAGAATTACTGAGGGCAGGGAGAGGTGGGCAGCCCTAGGAGTCCCGGCGGTAGGAAGGGCGCCGCCACCAAGCCAGGGCCCAGGTGCAGCCAATGAGAAAATCCCCGTCGGTCTGTATCATGGACCAGATATTTTAGGCCTCGTGGGACCTGTGGTCTCCGCCATTGTGGCTGGAAAGTAAATGATGGGCGGGGCTCGTGCGGAGGAAGCTTGTTTAGAGAAACAGGCCCTGTTTTGCCCACGTAGATGAGAGTGGCCAGATCTGCGCCTGGAGGGATTCCTGCGAGGCCGCAAGAGCAAGCAAGCCGCGAGCGGGTGCAGGCCGCCGGCGCAGCGCCTTTCTGTAAGACGCTTTTGACCCGCACCCGTAACGTGCATTTGTTGGTGTGTTTATGTGATCGTGTGACCAGGTGAAGCAGGGAAAGAGAAATACTAGTTGGTCTTCAAGGGTTAAGGGGGGAAGAGGAGCCCCCAGCAAAAAGAAAAGGCAGATGAAGCCCCCCAAGATCCGTGTTTTCCCATGTGAGCCTTTATATGACATCGCGTGGGGGGGTTAGGAAATTATGACTCCATTTGAGAAATAAAGAGATAGGAAAGTTCTCGAGCTTTGGGGAGTACAGGGGCTGAGAACCAGCAGCGTGCGGGGAGCCAGGGCCCGGCCCCAGGAGCCCCCCCAGCCGCCCCCTCCTCCGTGACCCCAGCGCAGGTGCTGCCCCTCCCCCGTCTCTGTGTGCCCATCTATGACATGGGAGTCAGCTGAGCCCACCTTGGGCTTCCTTCCAGAACGGGGAGAGATGGGACTTGAGGACCACTGTGCCTACATGAAGGGGTAGGTGGAGGGGAAGGGTTGGGAACTGGGGGCGGAGCCTCGGCCGGGCCCCCTTCAGCCATCTGTGCCCATCTGCCCACCCCCCAAGGTCAAGACAAGACTGAGCGCCGGGCCAAGTCCGCTGGCGCCCACACGGGGCTGGGCCCACACCTCCCTAGCTGCCCCGCCGGGCCAGGGTAGAGGGGCTGGATGCGATTTGGTGGAGTCACTTCTCTGCCCATTTTCCAGTTCCTCCATCCGGCAGGCGCCCTGCTGTGGGCCTGGGCACAGGGAGGCGGGCCCTGGCACGAGGAACTGGCAGGAGAATCCCGCAGCAGCACGGCCTCCTGGCTTTTGTTTCCAGAAGGGTGATCGCCTTGAGGACAGGGTGTCCCGTGAGGCAGAAGGCGTGACCCGCGGGCGGCAGCGGGTGGGGGGAGTTGAGGGAGGAACCCCACGAGACGGGAAAGCCAGATTGACTGGCTGGAAGCATGAGGGTTCCCTGAGCTGTGGGGTCCCGGCCGTGTGAGCATGGGAAGCGCAGGACACCCACCTACATCTACATTTCCCATAAATCATAAATAACTTTTTAAGCGTCAGTGTGTCCCAAAGGTCGCACGGGACGTCCTGTGCAGTGATGATGTGTTGCGTGTCCGCCAGTTCACCGGGCAGCCTATTTTTGGCTTGTTTGGGTTCAGCCTTGGCCTTTTACTAAGTTCGGCTTAGCCTGGGCTAGACAAGCCCCAGCCTCAGAGACACCGCCGCAGACGGCAGGGGACTTCAAAGCCACTGGGTGTTGGGGGGGTCAAGCAAACTCAATCAAGGACAGTTGTGGGGGGGTCACTGTCACATCCTCCAGATTCGGGGCTTGACCCAACTCCCTGACATCACAAAAGCAGCCCTTTGCAAGGCCGCCAAGGGCTATGGCCTGTCCATCAGGCCATCTAAACATATACGCGCCGCCACCCCCAGAGCCGCCTCCTAACCCAGAACAAGCAAGGAGCGGCGTGGTCACGCACGACCAGCTGCGGTGGGGAGAGGCGTCCCCCCTGGCCTGTGAGGTCCGGGGAAGCTTCTCACCCCCAGGTAAAGTCTACTCGTCAGGCCTGGGTTCCGAGACTGAGATTCTTGACCCATTTGGGGGAAGGGGCCCATCTTGGGATCGGGCCTAGGCTGCTCGTCAGGAAGGGGGGACGGGGGGGCTCACCAGCCTGGAATTCCTGCGGGTGTCCTTGTGGCGTCCAGACAGGTAATCCAGCTCGGCCTGCTGCACACACAGAGACTCCCTGGGGGAGAGCGAAGGAAAGGAGTTTGGAAAGGAACAAGGAGACGCAGCAGGATGACAGGGCCCTGGGGTGAAGGCCCCCCACACGGAGAGCCTGGTGGGTCTCAGGGCCCAGAGGCAGACGACGGAGCCGTCCACCCATCTGCCCACCCACCAGCTTGCTCGGCCTCCAGACCCCAGCCCCGAGGGCTGCTGTGCAGAGTGGGGAATCTCTCAGCTGATTCCCCATAAACAGGTCCTACTCTGCTTACACCCGCTTTAGGGGAGGGCAACCCCACCCTGAAGAAGGCTGGTAACCCAGCCCAGGGCCACAGGGCAGGGGAGAGGCCGGCCCCACGTCTGCACGCAGGCCAGTATCTCCACCCCGGCCCCTAGGGAGGTCAGCAGGTTCAGGCCTCTGTCTGGGACAAGCAGGCCATCCTGCTCTCTGGAGCCTGGGGCCAAGGACCAGAGAAGGGCCTTGAGAGCCCGTTCTGGAAAGCACCGAGAAGCCTGGCAGGGAGGGGACACGTCATGTGTGTTTTCCAAACAGAGATGTGGGCAGGAGTCCTGAGCTGGGACTTGGGGGCTTGGGTGGGGGTCCCGTCCTGCTCCATCACGGATGTGTCCCGGGCAGACCGCTCACCCCTCCGGGCCATTTACACCACCCCTGCCAGGTGACCACTTGCTCAGGGGTCAGGAGCCCAGAGCAGATTGGGGTGCTGGCGGCCCCAAAGAAGTCTCCAGGAGCCCCCCGTGGCCTCCTACAGACAAGACCAGCCACACGGCCCCAGCAGGAGGCCGTCTGTCCTTACTTGAGGCCTCTCTTCAGCGCTTCAAAGATCTTCTTCACTTGCTGTGGCCTGGGGTCTGGACACACGGACCCCTTCCTCAGCGTGCCATACATCTTGGAGGATTTCACAGGCGTTCGTGACCTCATGGAGTTCCTGTGGATGGACTTTCTGTGAGAAGGGATGGAGGGGTCAGAGCAGGGGCTGGACAAAGCGCTCCTGGGGGCAGGCACGCTGGGAACAGTGGTCAGAGCCCCACGGAGCCCTGAGACCTGGATGAGTCCCACTCCGAGCTGAATGGGCCTCAGGAAAGTTGCTGAGACTCTCTGGGTCTCAGTTTCCTTATCTGCAGTGGGAGAGCACTGCTGAGAGGGTGGTGCCGCGCGTTCTCTGAGGCGCCAGGCTGAACTTTTGGCACGACAGCAGCCCTCGGCCTGAAGCATGGCCGGCTCAATGGCCGCCGTTGCTGCAGAGATCACGCCCTGCCTCGTTCCAGTGGCCCAGAGCCTGGGAAGGGGCGGGAGCGGGGAACCCCAGGCAAGGGACGGGGGAGAGAGGCGTGCTGGGGCCTGAGACAGAGCGGGAGCCGAGGCTCAGCTGGACCTCAGAGGAAGAGCTGGGCAGAGGCGCACCCCAAGTCAGGTCTTCTAAGCCGGGGAGCAGAGAGCCAGAGAGACGGGGAAAGGTGGACAGCAGGGAGCCCGCTGACCAAAGCAGGGGGAGCTGGATGTGGGGGCCTTTCCTGCTTGGGGGACCACTGGTGGGGGAGGGGCAGATAGGGTCAGCGCCCAGGGAAGAGCCCGCATCTGGCCACAAGGACGAATGTCTCCACAGAGCAGAGAGCTCAGGCCGCCCATCGGGTCAGCAGAGACCCCCCAGCCCGAGGACCCTGGGGAGCGAGTGGCAACGTGTCAGAAGGTCCGCTCTGAGTCTGCTGTGGCCGGGAGCCTGCCGAGCGCTTTCTGGGATCCTGGCTCACGCACGTGCCCTGAAGGCAGGTGTTACTTGCACCCCATTGCAAGTTAGGGAGACTGTGGCTCAGACGGTGACTTGCCTGTTACCGCGTAGGTAGCAGAGATGGGACCCAAGTCCCGGTGTACAGGACTCGGCCTGGGATCTCAACCCCCCAGCTGGCAGCAGGTGTAGGAGGCCCCGGGGTCTGTAGACTCACCGGAGGACTTGTTAGACCCCGACTGCTGAGCCCCCGCCCCTCTGAATTTCAGAATCATCAGGTCTGGGCTAGGACCTGAGAATCTGCATTTCTAACATGTTCCCAGGTGCTGTCGAGGCTGCACCCTTCAGGGACCCCGGTCCCAGGGCTTCACCAGTTCCGCTGCACCTGGGAGATGCCCTCCTGCTGGCAACCCCAGCGGCCCCCCATAGTCCACTGCACTTACGAGGTCTAAAATCAACGGCAAAGGACTCATTCCCTCATTCACTCATTCCAACATTACCCAGCATCATCTTCTCCGAGTCAGGTGCCATGAGGGGAGCCAAGGGACGGGGTCCCACCCTCGAGGGTTCAGTCCACAGGGAAGGGGGGTGCAGTCTGGAGAGCTATGTAGGTGACGAGCAGGGCACAGCCGCCTCTTTCCCAGGCTCGAGAGAAGGGCCGCTGGGCCACCGCCCTGCCCTGGCCCCTGAAGGCCTGAGCAGGTGACCAGGCTGTATTTCCAGTCCAGCCAGAAGCCACGCATACCATACTCAGACATGCGTTGACTCGGCAGAGAGCTGTCCAGGCCTCCCCGAGACCATGCTGCCCAGCCCCCTTCAAGCCCACGCACCAGAAGTACAGATCCCAGGGGCACGTGGAGACCTGGGTCCCAGAGGGAGGATCTGGAACCTGGGCCCTCGGGGCCCAGCCAGGCTGGAAGCCTATACTGTCTGGGGGGACACATGCTCCTGGTCAGCAGCTCGGGCTCAGGTTGTGCTCAGAGGTCACAGGGACTTAATCTACTGGAGCCTCAGTTTTTCCATCTGTAGAAGGAGGATGGTAAGACTGCCCACCCCACGGAGTTGTCAATATTTACTGAGAACCTACTACGCTCCAGATGGCATTCCAGGAACTGAGTAGGACACTGACCAAGACAGATAACACCCCTGCCCTAGTGCCAGCTGGAGAAGACCATGGGGGTTGGTAACAACACAGGCTCGAAGCCAGGCCCCAGGCGTCTATCTGGCTCCCCTTTATAAGCTGTGTGACCTTGGGCAAGTTATTGAACCTCTCTGTGCCTCAGTACAACAGAGATCAGAGAAAGCGTCGCTGTGAGGGTGGTGAGCGTTGATAAATATAAAGGGCTTCGAAAGCGTCGGGAAAGAGTAAGTGCTGTATGTAAGTGTAGCATTTAAATAAGGCAACTTTTATAAACCATGTGTCAGATAATGCCCAGTGCCAAGGGCAAAATTAAAGAAGGGAAATGAAGTGAAATAGCTGAACAGGGAAGGCTCTCTGGATGGGTGATCAGGTAAAGGTGATGTGCCCCGAGCACTGGGCACAAAGCCTGGCACGTCATTAGTGCCATTCACGATCACACATCCAGTGACATTTTCCAAAACCCAAGAAGGGATTGTCTCCCCTCCTCCCTCACCCACCCGAGACCCATCACCCACCTCTTGGAGCAGGTCCTCCACAAAGTTGCCATCTCCCGGCTGGCAGTAAAGGGCAGGGCTGCAGCCTCGAGAGTGGTGGGTTTCACACAGGGAGGTGCCCCAGCAGGCAGGCAGACAGAGGGGGCGTGGGCAAGCCACTCTGAGGGAGGCTGCAGGAGCCCCACTCACCTGCCAGCTTCCTGGAACCCACGGTCCCGCACAGGTGGGCACCCTGGGCCAGGCCCCCCTTCCATATACCTGGACCTCCTCACCCTGTCGCTGCAGCTGCACCTGCAAGCACTGGCTCTGGGGAAGCCGTGCCCTTGTCTGAGGCCCAGCGGGCAGGCGTGGTGGCCACCGCCTGGGCCGGCCCAGCCAGGGATGGCGACTCATGTGCAGCCTCCGGATGGGGCAATCAGGCGGCAGGTCTGGCCCCGTGTCCCAACCGCCAGGGCAGGGAGCAGGTCTGGAGGCGGATGTTTCACCAGTTCCAGGAGGACTCAGTAAATATTAAACAGCCCCCAGCACACCAGACAAGCTTCCAGATGGGCACGTGCTACCTGCCAAGGCAGCTGGTATCATCAGGAGACAATTGGTCGGGTGCTGCTGTGCAGGGGCTGGAGCCAGACTGGGCTGGGCTGGAGTCCGTGCCTGCCCCTGCCCCAGGCGGCAGCTGGAGGTGGGCCTGGGGCCATCACAGGAACCACTGGGAGTGCTTCTGAGGACTCAAGGTGACAGCAGTGTGAGCAGGCCTTTTCTCCTGCGTCTGGGGGTGCTAGATGGGCAGGGGTGGTGACCACACGTGCATGACACTTGAGGAGTTCAGAGAGCCCCTGAAATCTAATCCAGGCTGTCCAGCCCCAGAGCCAACTCCCTTGGGAGTTGGACAGAGACAGGAAGTTAAAAATAGATGCGCTGTAATGGGCAACATCTTCTTCGCCTGTGAGCAAAGGGACTTCAGAGGTTGAGCAGTTAAAGGGTGGCACAATCGTCCTCTGAAACTCTGATTACGGACCCTGGAGTAGAGGGAGGACCCTACTGAAGCCCATGAAGAAGCAGCTCAGAAATGGTTCTGTTGACCAGTTTACACTTAGCCCCTCTCAGCAGCATGTATGGAGCCCCCACTGTGTACCTTCCTCATTTGCATCCACGTTTTCTCCTCTCAGAAGCTTGGGGTCAGGAACACTGGACACTAACTCCCTCTGGGACTTTGGCCAAATTTCTTCCCATTTGGGGGCCTCAGTTTCTTGTGCTCAAGCCCTCCAATGGCTCCCCACATACTGACTTCACTGTGGCCCACAAGACCCTCTGCTACCGTCATCACGCATGCTCGTTTTCTTTCCTTAAAGCTCACTCCTGCCTCAGGACCTTTGTCACTGGCCCCTCCACCTCACGGCTTCCCCAGCCCTTCACCCTGTCTGCATATGGTCAGCTCCTCCTTTTCTCTCCAGTCTTCATTGTCCCATCCCCTTGATGGCCCCTTTTAAGGCCCCTGTCTCCTGCACCCCCCTATTTGAATTCCTTCATGGCGCTTGCCACCAGCCGAATCCATCTTGATTACCTTCGCCTTGCTGTTTACTGCCCGGGCAGGACGCAAGTCCAGGAAGGCGAGTCCTGGGTCTGTCCCCAGAGCCTGGAACAAAGCCAGGCCAAGAAGGTGCTCCATAAATATTTGTTGAATGAATTAGGGGTTCCTAAGGGTGCTCTCTGGGATGTTCCAGGATTGCCACCCTCAGATGTCACTCTTCCAGGCACGCCAGGAACTGAGCTGCCCGGAGATGGGGTGAGTGAACTGGGAGGGCCTGACTGTGAGGCCAGATCACTGCGGGGAGGGCTGGAACCCTAGGGAAGGGCTGCAGGGGGGACCTGGCCTGGCCTGGGGCTCAGGGGTCCTTCCTAGATCACTGAAGCCAAGGCCAGCAGAAGATGAAGCAGGGGCTGGGCCAGTGAAGAGGGGAGGAGAGTGCTAGGTGGAGACAGGGCTGAGCACAGGCCTGGAGAGAGGGTCGCGTGGCTAAAGCGCAGGGTTAGACATGAGATGGGCCAGGTCGCAGGGGGACAGGTTTGAATTTGAGGTGGGAAGGAAAATTTAGGAGTGTCTCAGGCAGGGGGTACCGTGGTGGGATTTGCTTGTTGACTGACTCACTGAGCTAACAGGTTCTGTGCTTGCTCTGGCTGGAGGCCCTCCCTTTCCACACCTGCTTGAACAGGCAAATGTCTGGGCCCCTCAGGATAACTTGGGGGCTGCCAGCTGGCTGGTAGCTCCCCAAGGGCCTGCATAGTGCCTCAACATGCAGCTCTGGAGACAGGGGGCCAGGCAGGCGTAGGAGGGGAGGCGTGCCTTCTGCCTGGGAACTTACTGCAGATTGAGGAGGCGCAGGCGGCCACGAGCTCGTGGCCAGAGGGTCACACTGACCCTGGGCCCGTCTGCAGCATGGCCCCTCCTCCTTTGAAAACATCCCACAAGCACCTACTGTGTGCTTGCCACATGTCCCCTCGGGTATCCTGATGACAACCTAGTAAGGGAGGGACATTGTGATCCCATTTCACAGATGAGGAAACTGAGGCCCAGAGGTGTGACATCACTTGGCCCAAGTCACAGGGCCAGGCTAGGCGGCCCATTTCTCATCCTATCAAACAGGAAGAACGTTCCATCCTAACCCCACCCTTAGGCGACTAAGTTTCAGCTCTGACCCAGTTTTGCTGTGTGATGTTGGGTGAGCGGCTCCACCTCTCTGAGCATCAGTGTCTGATCTGCCAAGTGGACTTGAAAAGCTCAGGCAGGTTGACTTCTGAGGAGGAGAATGCCGGGAGAAATTATGTTTCCCCACACGCCAAGATGCACACGCACACCCCCGCCCCGCGACCTGGCATGAGAGCAAGCCCCGGTCGCCGGCAGGGGCTGTGCCTCTGTCCCGGACCGGCCCCCGGCACGCAGGGCAGGGACGGAACTTACGCGATCCTCCGGCTCTGCACGCTGCTGAAGCCCGCAAAGGAGGCGCTCCGGCCCACGACCCCCACAGCCCCTGGGTCCCCGGAGGACAGGAACCGCACCCTCACCGACATGCCGTCACCTGCAGGGAGAGGACAGAGCGTCGGCCTCGCGCCCCTGCCCGGTGAGCGCTGACCGCGGCCCCACCTGCCACCATGGCCGGACCATCCAGGCTCACAGCGAGGAGATGAGACTCCGTGAAGGTCGGTGAGCCCCCGGGGTGCTGGCGGGAGAGGGGGCCGAGCCCCAACCTGGGTCCTCAGTGCTCTGGTCGTAATACAGAGCGGCGCAGAGTGCGCAGGGCAGGAACATTTCCTCCTGCACCCACCTCTGCTCCCCTCCCCTCCGCCTCTGCCAAACACTCATCCCTGCAACAGACCCTCGCTGAGCACCTACTGTGTGCCAGACATGGTGCTAGAGACACGCGCTGGGTGATCAGGCGAAGTCCTGGCCCAGGAGGGCGCCTGGTCAGGCAGGGAGGGGACGATCCCCGGGCAGTTCACAGTGAAGTGACGGGGCGCCCAGGGGGACCTGCCCCAGCCATGGAGGAGGAAAGGAAGGTTCCAGGAGAGAAGGGCGTCCGCTTTCAATAAGAGGACAGAGGCTCCAGAAGGTGAAGAGACTGGCTGCGGACCCGCATTTTTCAAAGTGAGGTCTGGCTGCCACTTTGGGATTGGCTTCCAGGTTATTCTTTCCTCCTATTTCAGCCCAGATGTCACCTCCCCCAGGAAGCCTTCCTGGATCCCAGTCCCTGGCTCCCTCCATTCACAGTGGCCTATGAATGGTGACTTGTCTGTCTGACCCACTAGACAGGGATCTCCCTACAGGCTGGGCGTGAGGGGTTCTTCTCTGGGGCTTAGAAGATTCTAGCACATCTTTGCAGGATCGCAGAAAAGTGAAAGGCTAAGGCTTCTTCCCGTACTTAACCAGGCTGTGCAGCCCAAGGTGTAACAGTGGAAGAATAAGAATAAGAGCAAGACTGATAATAAGACTAAGAACATAAATGTGAAAATGAGTAAGACTATAAATAAGAGTAAGAGTTTCCACTGCTGGGCCTCCCTGGTGGCACAATGGGTTGAGACGCAATCTATAAAGCAATCCGCAGCCTCTGCAGCACTAGTTCGCTCCCCAGCCAGGGAGCTGCCCACATGGCGCAGCAGACCTTTCTGACTCGCCCGCTGCTCCCCTCAGCAGTGTATTTCAGTCAATCTGCCTGTTCTGTTCCCCACTCTGTCTCTGGTGAGTCCTCTCACCCCCACACACCTCTGGCCTGTTCCCCAGTTCTTGTGTGCATGAATAGATAACTCTTTTAATTTTAATTTTTTTTAAAGATTATCTATATAAGAACCGGGGTACAGGCCAGATGTGCGGGAGGGTGAGAGGATTCACCGCCAGAGACAGAGCAGGGAACAGAACAGGCAGACTGACTGAAACACACTGCTGAGGGGAGCAGCGGGCGAGACAGGAGAGGTCTGCTGTGCCATGTGGGTTGCTCTGCGGCTGACGGGGATCGAACCAGCACTGCAGAGGCTGTGGACAGCTCCACAGCACTGCGCTCAACTGCCTGTGCCACCAGGAAGGCCCCATAAATAGATAACTCTTTAAAAAAAAAAAAAAAGAGTTTCCATTGCTTCTGACTCTGTAAAGACCAGATGGGAACTACTTCTGGCTTTGCAGGCTGCATAGTCTTTGTTACAACTACTCAACTCATTTTACAGAAAGGCAGACATGGCGAAAGCATCTGTGTTCCAATAAAACCATATCTACAAAAGCTGCAGCTATTGATCAGTGACCCTTGGCTGTCAGCTCACCGTCTGGCCCCTAAGTAGCCTGGGCTCTGCCTGCCACCTGCTATGAGATCCTAAAACCCTGATTAATTCTCCCAACTCTCTTTGAGGCATGTCCTCTTATTTCCCCCACTTTGCAGATGCAGAAACCTAGGCGCAGAGGAGAAACCATTCATTCAAGGTCACACAGGAAGGAACCAGAGCTGGGATTTGAACCGGGGCATGTTGAATGCCGAAGCTGGCCGCTCATTGTAGGCTGCACTAGCTTCCCCAGGGGCTGTGCCCAGATCACTGCTCCCCACTCCCAAATGGGGGTGACAGGGGACAGGCCTAGGCCTAGGGGAGGGGGTCCTGGAATGGAAGCAGGTTAACACAGGGAGCCCTGCCAAGCTAGAAGTCTAGCCCTGCAGGGGAGGTGGGCAAGAAAAATCAAACCTCACTTCAGAGTGTGGGAACTCAGGTGGGACCTGGGGTGCTCAGAGCAGGCCTTCAGCTCCCACACAGCCCTACAGCGCTGGGAGGCCAGCAGCGCCCGCTCCTGGAAATACTGTGGTAGGGCAGGCTCTCGGGAGCTGACCTCACCAGCTGGGTTTTCCTGTTGTTGCAAAGAATCCTTTGTCTGTAGGAGAACAGGGGTGGGTGGGGGGAGTGGGGTGCGGCCTCCGGAGCCTTCCGTGGAGATTCCCAACAAACCCCAGTGAATGTTTGTCACCTGTCACCAGGGTGATCTACCTAATGTTCAATCACAGGAACAATGGACACTCAGAACAAAAGCTTTCAAGAACCCCACCTTATCCCCCCCACCCCCCCACCCCCACCCCACACTCCCCTATCTCCCCTCCCCTCCCCTCCCCCACTCTCCCTGGCATTAATCCTTTAGCTGCTGGACTGTGGCCAGGTCTGGGATGTCCCTGGGGACACTCGGGACTCTCATGGACATGAGAGTCAGACGGGCACCTTGCGGGGTCCCTGGCCAGAGGAGAGAGGCACAGAAGTCATGCAGGTCCCAAACCTTGGTGGCAGACGGGACCGTCCCTTCCCGTGTGTCCCTCGCTGCCTCTCTGGCCTGGCACCCCGGCAGCCCTCGCTTCGGCCGATGCTGCTTGGACCCAGCTGGCGTGCGCAGAAAGGGGCGGCTGGTAGCCGGAGGGGCCTTCTCACAAAGCCAGCGGCTGCCCAGAGACTGGGGACGTCCTGGGTCTCTTCCCAAGGTGTGGCTGGAGGGATACCAGGACCCGCTCCCGCTAAATCTGTCCCGCTCCCTGCCAGCGAAAGCCACCGGCTGGCCAGCGGGAACCTACAATTTCACCTCATTTGGAGGTGAGGCTTCTAAATTTAACAGCTGGGCTTTAAGGGCTGGGTGGCTTTTATGCCCCAGCCCCTCACTTAGGGCTCTTTCATATCCGCTCAGATGCCAACCAGGCCTTAGTTTGCTTATAGGACTTTCCAAAATAGCCCCTTTGGTTTCGCATGAAAGGAAATGGCAAGCGAGCCCGGGATGAGGAATGTGAGTTTATACAGCAGAGGGACGGGCGTCTGGAGGAGGCTGCCCTGGGAACCAGACTGTCTGCACCAGATGGGTCCAAGTCCCTCACTTTGCTGACGGCTCGACCAAGCCCAGAGTGGTCCCGTGGCCAGCCCGGCTCACCAGAGCTGGGTGGAAGCGCAGGAGGAACCCCAGCTCCTCCTCCCTGCCCCAGTGTCCTCCGCCCTCCCCAGAGCCCACCTGAAGCCTTGGCACCAGCTGTGCCCTCCACCCGGTCTGCTCCCCCAGGACACCCCTGCCCCCGCAGGCCTCCCACCAGCTCCCTCCCAGCCTCAGGCCTCAACAGAGAGACCCTCCTTGATCCCTCACCCCACATCTTCTTTCACCTTCAAAGAATTCATCGCCATCTTGAATTTTCTTAGGGTTTGCTTGACAACTGTCTGTCCCTCGCTAGAGGCTCAGCGCCAGGGGACAGGGGCTCTGCACAGCCGTGTACCCAGGACCCCAGCAAGTAGCTGGCCCCCAGCAAATCCCAGTTGAATAAGTGATTGCTTGAATAAGTGAATGGTAAGGACATATCAGGGACACAGGAGAATCTCGCCCAGTGCGGGATCTTGAATAAGTTTCCTCACCTTTGAGCCTCAGGGTCCCAGCTTAGCCCTCGGGGCTCCCCATGCGCAGGCCACTCCAGACCCCGAGTGAGCCCCACAACTCACTTAGTGGGAGAGAGACTCCAGCTTTGGTCCCCTCTCTGTCCTTGCTCAGACACTGTCCCTCTCCCTGTCAATCAGGCCCAGAGCAGTCCCCAGGCCCAGAGCCAGGCCGCAGAGGGTGGAGCCTGACTTTAATGGGTCGTCTCGTTCTGTTGACTTTTTAACCTTCCATGTGAAGTAAACAGTCTTCCGTCGGATATAAGGTGCTGTTTTAAAATAAAAGCATATTTAGGGCCTCCCCGGTGGCGCAGCGGTTGAGCGCTGGGTTGCGAAGCTAACCGCAGCCTCTGCGGCGCCGGTTCGATCCCCGGCTGCTCCCCGGCCACCGGAGGAGGGTCCCACATGACCTCTCCTGCCGCCCGCTGCTCCCCTCAGCAGTGTACCTCGGTCCTTCTGCCTGCTCTGCTCCCCGCTCTGGCTCTGGTGGATTCTCTCACCCTCCCGCGCTTCTGACTGTACCCAGTGCTGGTATAAATAAATAAACAAATAAATCTTTAAAAAAATAATAATAATAAAAATGAAAGCATATTTAAACGAAGAAAGTGGCAGATTCGAAGGACACTTGGCTTAGTCGAGCAGGTAGGAGTCCCGAATCAAGATCTACAGCCACGAGGGCCCTTTTCCTCAGTTTACCACACAGTCTACGGCCTCCTGAGCTGCCTGTCTTCCAGGGAGCCGCGGGAGGCGCTCGGCCCAGAGGCTGGCCAAGGGCGGGCCACTGGGAGTCCAGTCCAGCATCTCAGGGCTCGGCCCACACACCTGTGCCACCGTCACAGTTGGGGACACGGCGGGTCACAAGTGACCAAGTGCAGAGAAGCTTAAATGGCCTCTGGCTGGGTCACTTGAGGAAGAGGGTTTTAGGGAATAATGGCACGGGGAAGGTGAGAAAGAGACGAGTTAAGAAGAGCAGACGTGAGCGACCAGCGGCGTGGTCTCGCTGTGCCTCCGCAGGGCCTGCGCCGTCATGGTCCTCGCAGCCAGCGAGGGCGGCCATGGGAACACGTTTGCCACTGACGCCGTGCCCCTCGCGCCAGCGACGGAGCCTGGAAGCTGTGTCCCCCACACCCGAAGGCCTTTGCTTCTTGGGGTGCACCTG